GCAGCTTCTTCTGCTAATTCCATAGATTACAGTTATTTAATTTAACTCACTAATTTTCTTTTGGTGCAAAAGACGGTTCGTTTAAGTTGTATTTCATAGCTTTGGTATCTGGGCATGGCTTTTGCACACGATCTTCAGCCCCTTGTGGTGGCTTAACGATGGGTCATTATAGGTTCATGGCATAATCCGGATGACATTTACAGCGAATCGGAGCAGAGCGAACCAATTAATTGTGTTGTGATAAGATTAGTATAACTCGTGTGATACGCACAGATAGTAACATGAATGGAAATACGGTTGAAAAAAACACACACAAGCTAAAATAATAGGAAAACACCTGGCTAAAGGGAGAAATCCTAAAGGTTTTGGTCCAACATAAATTGATGAGGAATTGTCAAAGTCTTTAATTTTAAGACAAATGGCATAAATTAAATATATTTTCATTTATACGTATTCATTTATCTCACTCTTAATTTTAGCAATATCTACCTATTATTTCATCATGTGCCCATCTATATATTTTTACTAACATGGACTTATCGTACGCTTCTCCTTAGAGCCCTCATTTATGAGTCAGCGAAAAATACATAAAACAGGAACTGTTCTGTTGTAGTTTAATCGGAGCATAATATGCATTCAGCACCACAAACACAATTGAACAACAAGAAGCGACACACAAACCGTCCCACAGTTGATTCGTTTTTCTTTTCCGAGGGCAAACCCATTTACGTTTGCGGCGGATAGCGAAGGGCCGCTTCGCACCGCACGCTTCTAGTTGGTCAACAACGTACCGATGATGAAACGGCAAATGGAAAAATGTACAGCAGCGGAAAAGAAATTCCATAAAAAGGAAATATATTATCAACGTTTATATGGCAGCATAGCATAAATCGATTTACATGGCACAACTGTCGAGCAGTTGTCCGATTGCCGGTACCTTGTTGCCCCCGTTGATGAACGACGGAACCGGATCCCAATGAGAACGAAAGTACATTGTGTAGCGGAACCGGTTACCGCGGCAACGCAGCCTTCCGATTTCGAACGGTAGCAGTAAACCCCGCGAGGGAGCCCGCTGTTAGATTCTGAAATGCATGAGTCGTATCGAAATTACGATAAAAATTCTATTGATTACGCTGTTGTCTAGATCGTAATTCAACAGCTGCATGTCGTAACAGGCTCGTCTTGAGCTATTTCTCGTCAAATAAGGTCACAAATAATATCCAACGGATTATATACGATTATCGTTCTGGTTAAATGTGTTGGCCTGAGGGATTCCGCAATAGGTAAAATGAAGAAAATTAACGAGTTCCAGAAAAAGCGTTTTGCAAGGAGTTGCACAAGCCGACTCTTACCTTTAACAAATTTAGCGTGTCCTTACACACATATACATAATACGTTAGCTGTCTGAACTCATCATTTCGTTTATTGTTTCCTGATTATCTACAGCAGCGGGACGTGAAAATGGCGCCGCATTTTTTTCTATCAATTCTGAATTATATGGTGCCCATCAATCTTTTGATAACCAGCTTGCTCGAACTGTTTCCCAGAATACAGCGCGACAATACAAAAAAAAGCCAAAACATGTTGTCTATTTAAGAAAACCCATCCTTAAAATATCGTCGATTGCTATTATTCGGCTAAGGAATCCAGAACCTTAAATAGTATGGATGTGATTACTCACCGAACAGGTGATCTCTACCCGACTATTTATATTCCCGCTTCTGAGCAAGCGATAAGCAAGAAAAACTGACGCAGATGGTACGGTCAGACTAATGAAAAGAACAAACCTAAACAAACTAATAACCAATAATAATAACGATAATAGTCGATAGTGGAAACTGATCTTCTGGTTGACAGCGTCACTAGTAAGAAGAATACTGACGAATGAAAACATCGTCCGAAGATGTTCACTTTAAAAGTATATATTAGATCTTCAATGAGCTGATTCAACAGACTGCACCCATATCTCCTAAAAACGTAATAAGAGTCTGTTAAGTTCGGAACGTATTCATTCCATTGTAATAAACACTGAGTAGAAAAAGTATTAACAAGTAAAATTAGATGTTTTTCGTTAAAATATAATACGAAAATTTTCTTCTTAGCACAGCTAGGATTTGATATGATAGGTTATAGACCTTATTAAGAGATCCCTAAGCCTTATGCACCAGTGAACTGGACGGTCAATAGAGAGTTATGAATCGTGGGGTTGTTGTCTCGGTGTCTCAAAGTACCTTAGTCATTTATTCCCACTGACCCTGGCGAAAAGAATAGACAATGGAAGCAAAACAGAAACACCTTTCTCAAGTAATCGATTGGACGCACCAACACGCATACGCACTATGCATTATTCTACACAAGACGATAATCAACATGGAAAAGCAACAAATAGTCGTGTCGGTAAAATGTCAACGATAACAATAAAACTTCTGTGGTAAACAGCCGCAAGAGCAATTCTCCAGGCTACAAATTATTGTTGTTCGGTTTAGGTCCATCACCAACCCGTTAGATATTTTTACTTATTATCTAAATTCGGCGTACAGAAGCAGAAAATGAGATGCTTACCGCCTGGAACACGTACTTATGCATAGGTAGGTTATTATAGAAGCGGAAACAATCGGTTGCTGAGTGTTTTACGGTTAACGCCTTCAGTATCTAGACGCCTCGAAAAGGTCCGCTTATAACTGCACAGTGCTAGCCTTAGGTCATCACATAGCAATGTTGTCAAAACATGTACGCTTATGTTACTACCGCGATGGAATTTCTTCGACTATATGTTATGTTTCCTCTAAATTGTTTTATCAAAAGAATCGCACGCGTGTTGTCCATTTGTTAGACAGTGGAGCTACTGAATCTGTCCTTTTGAACGATAACAATAAGTTTAATTGATCTCATTAATAATACAAGCCAAACAAATAGTAAGCCGTATATGCAGGTACGATTCTCAACTATTGTAACATACGAGCGCCATTGATCCTTAATGATTTGCACCACCACGCTGTTACGCGCTTGAGTTTCCATGGCTTTTTATGATATCCAAAATATTGGCATAGCTGTAAAGAATCATTTCCATCCAGGCCCAAGCGTCAACGAATCGGCGTTTTTCCTGCACATAGTTTTTTTAATCTGTTTATCTGTGCCTCTGTAAGTCATCACGAAGCACGACTCCAGAACGATCTTCTTACGCACCCCTGACCCGATCAGTGCTACCCGAGCAACCATGGACAGCCAGGCCATCAAAGCCGCAGTTCTAGTCTTGCAGCTGGGTTTTTACCCTCGCTTTATAACGTAAAAATCGCGCAATTGTCGCAAGCATTAAGACTCGACATAATTTACTTTAGTTAAAGCCTGTACTTACTACATTTAAGGCCTGTTGACACTATACAAGTGAAAGGAACGTATACTTAAAATTAACCAGAATTTCGCCAGTCATTGGTGCCTCTACTGGTTGGTTTTCTAAGACTATATCATTCTCGGTGGTGACATGTTATTTCCCGTTTCCAGTCACTGGAATTCCGTGGTTCAGAGGGCGAATTGTTTTGATACGCTGGCCTATTATTGCCATACGTCACGCGGCAGACCCGAAATTTTGCAAATACAATGACGAGGACGATTACTGAACGCATGAGGATTATTACAAGCGGGTTGATGATTGCTCCACTAAAATTTTACCCACGATATTGGATAATTTCCGATCGTCTACGGGGCAAAGTTGACCTATTACCCCGCTTCTGTTCAAAAGCTGAAAATAATAACACCAAACGATTTTAACATTTTCGGCTGTGACAGCGACTTCTGATGGTATAGTAACGATGGCCTGGGGGATGCGACACCCTTTTGCTGTCAATTATCGAGTTATTAGTTGTCTGCTAACGTGGCAACGATTAAATAATATAACGTAATTTGCCCGATGACATGACCAGGCTAGTCATCTACTGGATCATTCGCGAAGATACTAATCGTTGGTCAAGAGCTGAAGCCTTATGTCACAACCCCCCGGCAACCCTCTGTAACGACGGTTTAGGTATCCGATACAGCGCCGTCAAGCCCCTATTTGGTATCATACCGACCTAAAACATTTAAGTAGACACATAACCGAAAAACGCTCATCTAATAGGGCACATGTTTAACACAAAACGTAATTACACTGAGACGGTGGCGTAATGTAAAAGATCATGCCATACACGCTTGTTTTAATAACTACTCATTGCGATAATGATAATAGATCATTCAAGATACGAGTCCCTGTATTCGTTTACCTTTTAGTTATACTGAAGAGCACAAGCCCTAGCAGTTTTTCTAACAAGTCGTCCAAACCTATGTTCATAGATAACGCAATCGTACAATACACTACTACATAGTATAGATTGTATTGAATATTCCAAACAACGAATAAGAAACGATTAGATCTGAATTGGACCCGTATTTAGTTTCCATATAGCACACGTGTTTGCTTTCCAAATCAATCGCTACAAACGCACTCGCGTGTTCCTCTTATTTGCCAACCAATCGACACACAGTATCGCGTCCATGATTGGCGTTTATAGGAAGCTTGCAAGCATAGTTGAGGCTTAGTTCGTAACCTGACAGATTTCGGCTAGCGTAGATATTCAGATTGGTATTGATCCGCCACCGGTCTGCAAATCTCAGCATCGCGTATTACAGGAAGCACGTATCGCTAAGAGACTAACGTCGCCGGGGCAAAAAACACGGCGACAATTGGACCCTTTCGACTTCTGTCTTCCTCAACTTTCTCCTCGTGTTTGACTACCTAGATAAACGATGCACCCTGATCAAAACATTATCGATTCGGTCCAGCCATCGCTTGACGCTGGCCGAAAGCAATTAACTTTGGCTATTTAAATTTCAAAACAAAAAAACACTGGCCATTTTATTTAGTAGTAGTTAACATTTAAGACAACCGTAGCGAAGCTGACGTCTGTCGGATCGCGTATAGCGGCGCATTGTTCAGTCAGATAAGCAATAAGTGAAAGAGTCACAAGTGTTTGTTTATTGGTTGTAATATTTGTTTAGTATAACTAAGGCTTTATATTACTTGTCCTTGAAAATTATCATAAACATTTCTTTTTTTACTATATCAGATGTTTTAACATTGATCGTCATTTTATTATCCATGAAAGTTTACACACAAACGCCGCACGTCGACGCTTATTTCTAGTCACAAGTCACAATGACGAGCTATTATGGCGGGCACACGCATTACATTAAACTTGACAAATATCTTATTAAATTTGACTGCATTCGAAGGCAACCTTTAATAAAGTTTGATGTCATTTTCGCTTATGGTTTGTTACAATTTCTAACACCCTAAAAATTAGTAAAAAAAATAAAAAGCCACCTTCATACCCTATCACATAGATAGACCAGAATCTCATCGCGATAAACGCATTGCAATTATCTTAGAAATCCGATTGTTAAGCTTTGGGTGTCCACTACATGCAAACTGTTCGAGTAGATGAATACAAGAACTCTTGTTCCCTTCCAGTTGCTTGCAGTGGTGATTTAACAATTGACATTATAGAGGATTCATTTTTCGCTGCTTATTAGAGCAATGCGTTTGAGCGAGAAAAGAGGCGAGACAAAAAACGATCCCAAAATCCGTCCATCGAAGTCCTAGTTTGTGCCACTGTGTCTGCCGGCGTAAGTTATTTTACTTCGTCAAAATTCTATCTATACATGCGGCCCTGGTTACCACTTGAATTTGTCAATGAGTTAAATTGTTCGATTAGTTTTCTTTTTCCTTTTCTGCTTGTGGCTCGACTTCTCAAAGAAACAACGACAGAAAACGACGAAAATGCTCACAGTTCCAATACGGAACATTAGCCTTTCAATTATCAGGCAGAAATCTGTCGCAAAGGCAGGTGTTGCCCGTAAACTCGTTTGCTAACAGACATATTCATTGGATGGTAGGTAGGTCGCACAGAATTGCGGTCCTTGGTATTCAATATTCCTGCTCCTATTTTGTTCGAGCAGAAGGAAATGCCAAAAAAAAAGATTCACGAATAGGCCAACCCCTTCAAAAGCAATGGAATAAAAGTCTTTATTTCCACGTTTTCTAATGACGAATTTGAGAATGTTCTTATAAGTGGTCTCATGGCCAGTCGTGTGATTTCGATTGGCTTCAGAACATTATCCTCCTCTACTGGTCAACAATGTTCTAACGGTATTGGATGTTCGGTAAAATTGCTATTTTTTTTTTCACGGAAATCCTGTAATAGCGGTACCATTTTAACTTTATGACCACTTCGTTTCAATGAACGGCAAGATCGGTAATGTCAAAATCTTCCTGTGTGCGGCTGATCATTGCAGCCAATGGGCCTTTCTTATATCGAAAACTACATGGTGACAGGCAATCTTCCTGGTTAATCAATCCGATGTTAGAGCTTTGTTTTTGCCGTGTTTGTATATACAGTTATATGTGTGAGGATTATGTCGTAAGATGTCGTAACAGTCAAGGCCCTATGAACACTGGCAACCCTTGAACCTAAAATTTAGTTCAGTTGAAGTGTAATAGATTACAGAAGAAAACAGCCGATTAACAATTTGACAATCACAACTGTTTTTATTATTATGATTAATTTTTCGTTAGTACAAAAGCTCAATGGGTAATGGATATATAACCGCCAGCTGTTTCAGACGCACATAGTGTTTGTAAAAAAAAAACTTAGTTCGCCTGACTTCATAAGAACATAAATACTAGATGAAGAACTAGAAAGATAGCCTCTTTCGGACAATTCGAGATCGTCGGTGTATACTGCATTTGTTATCGGAGGTCCGGCGAGAAGAATGCTATATTTCATGAGTGCGTACATTTATCCGAAGCATCTGTTCCACAATAGGTACCGTGCCTTGGGCATACACTTATAGTGAGAGCTTTTTTATAGCTGCAAATTTTATACGACAACTAGAAGACAATCACAGATCAACTGTGCTGCAAGCTCATGCATTCATTACGTATATTCTGTAAATGATCGAATAATTTCATTGACAAATTAACTATCGCTGGAAAATGCACACAACAATCCCGTACAAATTTAAGATCACAACCCTGATGACGAAATGCACCGGCAACCTACTTTTGTCGAATACTCGGCATATTTTAGAAAAAGGCAAAACATTACTGTGATGTATTGTCGAATCTAAATGTCGAAGTATTTGATATGTTTCTTTCTCATTGTTGTGTCATAATAGGCCATGGGAATGACAAAGGACTGCCGCATGTGACGTCGCTGCGTGGTATGGGGCACGAAAACTACAGTAGACTGGGAAAAGAGCTACCGATTTAACTGATGACGCGTCGGAAACTATATACATACGAACTGTCTCCGTTTAAAAGCGCCCAAGTCTATTCTAATCGCTAATCTTGCCAAATTATCTAGGCGAAATTTACATAATCGGACACAGCACATTGCGCGCCTAAACGATTCTACTTGAGAAAAACATGTTTTAGCCAACTTTTGTTCAAGCAAGTTATTCGACAGATAATTGAGGACACCAAGGTAGCTTAGAAAATGTATGCACGCAACGTAAAACTTAAATATTACAAGACTAGCTTGTCGTATCTTGATCTATTCGTAAAGTAAATGAGAAGCAAAGATGTTATATTGATGAAGATGGGTACTGACGAATTTTCTAGCAGTGACTCGAAGCACACACAACAGCGAAGATCTATTTTGGCTCTTTCCGTGCAAAATGGTTCAAGTCGATACAAAAGTAGGCTGCTATAATGTCCATATTTTCCCAAATCAGTAAAAATATAGGTCAAACCTAGCCGCGGCCCACGCAAAAGAAAGGCAATGAACGTTAACTTGACGAATGTATTTTTCATGAAAAAAAAAAGCCGATCTTTTCAACGTCAGCTAAAGAACCTAATTCAGCGTTTTCGCACGGGAGCTCTATTCATAATAACAACAAAAATTGCTAAAATCGATGACCTGTGCATGGACAACCTGTGCCGCTTCTGTCGAGCTTACTTTTTAAAGACTGACTTTCTTTTTTCATTTCGAAAACTGTCTAAGGCTTGTTTGTGTGCATATGAACTTGGCATAGTCAGGCGAGATTTCTTTTTGCCTATCCGTCTTGGCTGACGCCGGGAATGTCAGCGCTCAGAAGAGCCGCGGGGGCATTGCCCTTCTAAACTGCTAATGACAGACGGTGGCATAGCGAAGATCGAATGGTATTCGCCAAGTGGACATTCAGCTCTGCTATGATGATCTGGTTTACTGGATAGATTGTGGATCTGAGCGACGTGATTTTTTCGGTGACGTAATTTGAATGAAAGTTCAGGTAAATCGCTTTTTCATGTATGTATACAGATCCTTTGAGAAACATCATTTTTTTTTACCTAAATCGAGAGTATATAAATTATATGCACAGTTAAACCTCGAAAATACGCAGTGAATTTCAGTAAAATATATCAAGTCAGTCAACTGCTATAGCCGTCTGTAAAAGGTTTGTTACGAGGCATGTCCCTGACATGCTCAGTGAGTGACGCGGCGTGAGAAACTTGAAGGTGAAACACCTTCCACACATATATTAACGAACGCCTACCTCTCTCATTTCGCCATCGCTGTACCCATAATAGTACAGTGGTTACGGCCTAACCTAAAACACTTAGTGATCTAAGTTCGATTCCTGCCATAGCCTTAAAAAGCCAGTCGTCCGAACCAATACCTGATGGCTTAATTCCAAGACGTCAAACTTAACAGCGTATTAACGCCCAATTAAGATCATCACTAAAGGACTTAGGTAATCTCTCTCGCGCTTTTGTTTTCTTTTCTACTACCTTTAATAATATCATGCTTTCGTCTCTTTATACCCTGCACCTCGTATAAGTCGCTTTAATTGATCTCTCTTTTACAATTCTTTCTTCAGCTGAGCTGTAATTATCAATTTACGGTATATTATCAGTGTGACTAATATTTTCATTGATTTTCAGCTATTTCTGTTTCGTTACAATCGCCACTGCGATGCGGTGATATACCGACATTGATTGTTATAATCACATCACAGAGACTGTTACTACGATTGTATGGCTATTAAATCGTGATTTCTCTTCCTGGGCCGCGACACTTAACAGCCAAAAAAGCAAACCCGAAATCTCTTCGTTTTCTCCGCTATTCATCGTTCACGTATTCCACTGGGCTGTCAGCAGTAAGCGCTGAGGAAGATAAGCCGAGGGACTTTGGTCATCGGTGTCACAACATGCCAAGGCCTCCATTGACATCGTCTTTAGAGCAAAGTTGCTCACTTTGCGTTTCGCACGAGTATTAACAGCGGTAATAGCCCGCTGATAAACCCCTGTTAACTACGGCAACGCAAGCGGTTCGTTCACAACAAACGGAGATCGATAACAATCGATGGTGGAAGTCCGGGTCAAAACTTTTTGGTTGATAACTGACAATTTTAACGCCCAATTAAATAAAAGAACTCTATTCAAGAATACGTCGACATGCTTTACACATAAATGAAAAACGCTAATTCTATTATAATTTATGAAGGCAGACTTCCATAGAGACCAGATGTTCAGGGAAAGAAGTAAACACAGAAAAAGCATTATACATTTGTCGGCTTGTATTGTAGCACCTGTCTACCAAAATAAATGAATGGCTCGTTTGTACGCAGCATGTCACTGCGAAACACAATTGCTTTTGATATCGTTTGATGAAGTTACACAATACTTATATACATATATATATATATATATATATATACAATTTACAAAAAAATTCTCACTGCGACCGGATAATTCATGCAGTTCAAATATCATTGTATTAATATCATAGATATTCGAACGGTTAGAAAGATATCGAGCGAATAAAAACACTATTAGTGGCAGGTTCACGTTATTGATTTCCAATCGGCATAATGGGATATAGCATTCAAAATTGCGACAAACAAAATATCATCTTTGAGTATGCTAAACGAAAAAAAAATACGCCCACAAACAGAAAGATCTGATTGACTGCATCGTAACGCCCTTTTTATTCTAGTGCGATAACACTTCGGCTTCATGCTGAAATTGTGAATTCAATGAAAATAACAATGATGGAAACTAGTTTCTGCTGACGAGATATCTGTACAATGGTTGCAGGCTAACATTCTAATATGTACCAAATTATCATTACCATTTTTACAAGCGGATAGTTTGTATTTGGTTTTTAGCCAAATTGTTTCTTACTAATTTTGAGCATTTAGCAATCTTATTCCACTGTCTAAAGGTAGACACCATTGCGTTCTAGTTGGCTATCCTAGGACTGACCGGTTTACGTCTGATGAGCCAGGACCTTCTCGCCTGGAACAAAAAAATGACTATTTTTAAGAACCAGTTACATTTCAGTTTTCTATAGGCTGCATCTTACCCAGGCAGGACAATAACGCTGGCCGTCTTCTATTAAAGCAACATATAGTAAGTGAATGCTCCAAACTGTAATTCTTGTGCGGCGTTTATTAAGCATCGCTTTGAACGCTTTATTCAAAAGTGCGCCTGATTTCGATATCAACGACAGATTGCCTCACGTGTCGTTAAGTTTAGTGGGTACCACAGGAGCATTGGGACGACATGCAAGCAGCTATTATACCTAAAATAAACCAGAGGCTTCATACATCCCTATACTAGAGTAGTCGATTTAAAAGATCACTGCATATTTCATTAAAACATGTGAGGAAAAACATCTAGTCATCGCAATAATGCGATGGCTCATCGCGAGTCCATGATCGCCTATAGGGTATGTCAACACATGACCACAGCTTCGAAGCGCGATATTACAAGCTGTGCGTAGAAACAAGATAAGAGAAGTCAACAAGGCCAACAGTGATTCAACATTCTGTTTAAAAAACAATCCAACAAAATAGGGTCTGATTTTCTTCGACCGAACTTACTACTAAAGTTACTACTTACTACTTAATTACTACTAAAGTTTATCATTACATCATAAGCAATACAGGCATGAGTAGTGTCAACGTATGCCTAGGAAACACCTTTTTTCACACAAATGGAGACACGATGCCTTTATAAGTAACATTAAATATAACCGTACGAATCACAGCGAGTTTCACAAAGCAAGTTTTGCCGACGAATTAAGGCCTCGCAGTCATCGCATCAATGATTACTGAACTACTTTAAAAAAGCCAACGTACTTAATCATATATATTTGTTTTAATTTGCTTGAGCAATATCTTAGCCGTGGTAGCTCGGAAGGCAACTGTTTTTGTGTTAACGTTCTCTCGCCTCATGTAAGCCTTGATTTCTTACCTTGATTACGAAAATATCCGTATAGTCTGCACCAGTACTGCTCAGACGTGTATGATTCTTGCAAGCTACAGAATATTGAATAGCAGTATCGTTTTGCGGATTTTTAGATTCTGACCAGCGACCTAACAGCGCGTACATACCAGATTCAAGTAACCGCTATAGAACTCACGATAGGTAGACCATATATGTATAGTCTGCATATTTTTATTATGGAAATTTGATATTTGCCAGTTATGTTCTAATATAGCTTCTCTGTCGAGTACTTTTGTTACTGGGGTGCGTCTTTCGGTTGCGAGATTATCTTGATGGCATTCAGTTCAACCAAACGACGATCCAATCTGACTGGGTCAGCTCGTCCGGCCGACTTGCTGTGTCCCGTCTCGTAGGAATCCAAATCGAATGCTGTGTTAATACCGCTCTGCCAGCCATTAATCTTCGTGTATCGACAGACATATCGATGTTGATGCTTTGCATGTATCCGGTCCGCTGAGGCGACATGTTCAAACGAGGCTCATGTAGAATACGCGGGCCTGCCCAAATAGTGGTCAATTGTTCGCTAAAGAATTTTATGGAAGCGAACCGTCCGTTCACAGATAGGTACGGCAATACCAGCTTGTCTGACCCATCGTTCCAACTTATCTCACAAAACTAGTATCTCAATACAACGAATTAAACGTTGCCAACAATTGCAGGTGAAACTAGCTAGCAGCAGAGAACAAAGCGCAAATAAGTGTCGGTTCTTAAAATAAGGCAAATAGTTTAAGGGCTACAATTGCCAGTGGCAAACAATGCAGGACATGAGAAACCGGGATGGTTGACTACGAAACATTAAGAATACTATGGAGTTATTGGAAATGAGTTTTCAATGTTGTTTTTATGTTTGATCTATAGTTTAGCGCATTATTCGGACAGCCACTACATTTGACTTATTAGCAACAAAAATAGCCTGGTGTTTTCCGGACGACGTTTACTTTAAGCTAGCATTAACTAACGACGTTCCATAATTGACTGTTGGGAATTTCTTTTAAACACAGGACGATTGAAATATATTAACAAAACTAAGACTTCTCAATCGGCATTTAACGGAGGTCTGCATCTCGTACTTCAGCACAGCGTTTTACCGTGTGTGTATTTCTCAGAAAAGGTCCTCCGTAAAGTTAAGTAGTTTTGAACGGCAAACGTACTCGCGGGACTTTTCGTCGATATCCGTGTGTGACACACTGCAACCACATAACATATTAAAGAAGATACGCTTCTCTTTACGCGCTAACATCTACTCTACGGTAAACTAAGGTTTCGACTGGGTTTCCGTCCAGTAAAATGATCATAAGTACACAAATGAATAACCAAAATCACACGGATTACGCACTTTGTCCGAGAGATGAGATGGAATTAGCACATCGTTGATTGCGTTCAAGGTGCTATAAAATACAATTTCCCAATAAACTACTTCCCGTCGTGTCGAAACTTCCACCATGCACTGATTTATTTTTCTGTCATGCGAAATGTAGATTCAACACGCTTTGCTCAATTGCGGTGCACAAAGTCCTGCCCTCTCAATGTTATCTTGTTGGTTCCCAATCGATCCTTACGTCACCTGTCTTTCGATGCCGTTCATTCCATATTTTGTGGTTTATTCAAGCCTGTTCGTATGCAGCACTGGAAACGGAGGTACGATATCAATAACTAGGTATGTTTACGTGGATCAAACCGTCAGAGGCTAGATGAAAAAGAGATAGAGCGAGTACGCAGCGAAAGACGTCGATGAAGTCTTAGGAAGCAAAAAATTGTTTTTGAAGGAATTGCAAATATTCTGGTTATGAAAACTAACAAATACTGAAATATTATGACAGTGAAAAGCACAATAGTAGGTGTTAAAGACGCTTTAATAACGTCTTTAACAATAACGTATTTCAATCTAATAACGACGCTTTAATAATGTATTTCGATCAATGAAAAAAAAATAGAGTTAGCTAAAATTATTATAGGCATTCCAGATCTTAGTCGTTTACGAGTATATTATTAGATGTTGGCTTTCAGGATTTAATAATATTAATATACTAGACTACGAAGCGCGCCTAGGCTTCCCTGAGACTGGCAAGATTTCTGTATTGCCGACTACACCATTACAGTCTAATTTGACCCCTTTAATATATATGGTAAATTTCCGCGTATGTCATCATTAGCCAGTATCATGACAATCATTTCGATTTTCGACGCACTTCCTGTTTTTGACAAATATCCAGGCTGCATTCGATAATAAGACATCACTATACAATAGCTTATATGTGCCTATTACTGTTAAAAGGCAAAAGCACGAGAATGGCGGTAAAGCCGTATGTGGGTTCTTTCCAGAACAAGTATTAAGTATATGTTAACATTTGACTAGCCATACATGTACATATAATAGACATGGATATCTTGACCTTTGTTGTGACGCCTTCAGTTCACGGAACAACCTCGAGATGTACAAATCGTAAACATAATGACGACACCCTAACGGTACTACACTGTGTACGCTTGTAGAATACGGGGTTAGGTCAACAGACTCGTTAAATTGTTGTTGTTCAAAAGAATGTAGGTAACGTGCTTTCTGGCGTCGTTATTGTCATCAGATCACTATGAACGAGGGGTGTGGTCAAATAAATGTACTACTTTTGTTTCACTGATGATATAAACTGATGAGATATGGGTAAAAATTTCATTTTATCGGACCGCATGAAAATTTGATGTTATAGTGCTGTCAACAAGAGTAATAATTACGCTGAAATTTGAACGATGTAACAAATGTTGGACAATCGTATGAGAGAGATCACGAAATCAATGCTCTTAATCGCACCTATTGTGTTTCTCCGAGATGAAATAAAACCTAATAGAAATAGACTTGTTAACTCAAGCATATGACCTTCTAATCGAACGTTCGGCACACGCATTTGAATGTCCTTATAAGAAGTCAAGTGATTTTTGTTCCACCCTATACATAAACGATAGCTTTTGTAGCGAGTGTTCACACATCAAACGGCGCACTTGGTAATTAATGATTTCATGCTGTGGCCCTGTTGTATGCTTGGCTTATTCAGAGATAAAGGAATCTTTCGCCGCCCACTCAGCAACCGTCCGGCGCAGCCCAATTTTGATCTATTAAATGCTATTGGCAGAAATGCTGTTCAAGTCAACATGGGCAGCTATCTATGTTTACTAGAAATTGTTGTGGCATCCTTAATAAGCAGTATAGACGGTTGATGGCAAATATCAATTGTTCAGTTGTTATACTTTTGTTAGAGTGTGGACATTAAACTCGTTGCGCAGATGTAATTAAAAAAAATTCGTAGTTTTTTTTTTATATGGAGGTAATATATATGATCTGGACGCTACGGGTAACAACTCAGTTCTGTATTCTCATTTGTCAAAATTGTACCAACAAGTCCACTGTGTAGACGGCCTTCGAACAGGCTTTTACCAGCCGGGTGGGGCCAATTGTTGTGCTAAGTTACGTTTTTTATTCATATATAGGTAAATATGTTTTTGTCATGCTCTCACTCGCAAGAAAATAATTATTATCAAATATTCCATGTACGTTATTGAGAACACTTCAACTAACGCACTTGAAGCCTTAAGGTTTTTAAAACGATTAAAAATCTTTTTAAGATACATTTAAATACCTATTTATCTAGCAGATAATAATGCTATATATGTTCAAGTATGTAAAAAAGCTGTGATGAAAAATTATCTGGTTTACTTCCCGCTACGCACACTTCTGTTGAAAACTACAGATGTATTGTGTCATATATATATATATATATATATATATATATACATCGTAAATAGACAAAGACTATGCTTACAAAACAGTGGGCGATATTCAAAGTCATAGTAATAACAATTATGACCATAAAGTAGAATATTGAATTAAGTAGAATATAGAAATTATTAAAGTATAAGGTGGATAGGCTACTTTTCCCTACTAAGGAATACATGTATATATTCTATCAATTTATGTTAGATATGATTATTAGTATATTCATTGTTATATATGTGACCTACTATAGATGAACGTGACTGGTTATTCTCTCCCTCTCTTCTTTCTCTTTCTACCAATTTATCTGTGATCCTTGTTTACTCTACAACGAACTCCGTTAACTCAAGGATAAACACAATTGTTGAGCAGATCGCATGTGCATATACTACATGGCTGTTATATGAGCTACCATTTGTTTTAAATCTAAGAATCTTCAGATCTAAATGAAACTCAGTAATAGTATTTTGTGTACCGTCCAGATATCTCCTATGTATTAGACGATACGTCTATCAAGTAGACGAAGATGATTACAAAATATCAGACTCGAACGCATCCGTGTCACAAAACCTATCAGCTGCTTCCACCAAATAGCACAGCACTTTAGCTGTGACGTCTTGGTACAGCCAACGAGGGGTCTTCGTTTGAAGCTACGAATTTTGCTTCGATTTTCAAAAGGCGACACAACTACATGTTGTCAATAATATAATCGTAGCCTGCCATGAATGGATACCGTACTGTTTTGAACTGTATCTCCAACATAGCCTGCAAATGACAAGACAACGGACAAATCCTTATATGTCGACCGTAAGAACAACAGCCCTACGAAACGCTCTACAACCAGCAAGAGTTACGGCCTTCAACGACAAAGAGATAGCAGACCCCACTGTACCGCTGGCCGTTATCATTGTCGTCCGACACCCATAGAGTATTACACCTGTTTCTCCTCGGCCGTTCGCTTACTGTTATTATAAATGTCAAAAGACGAGCCGCCTGCGGGCGCAAAGAACAACAGCTGCACTGAAACGGTTTCGCGCGCTACGGGAGTTGCGCATGAATACGTCGAGTGCGCATAGATAGTAAAAAGGAGAAGGAAAGAACTCCGTCGATTTTTGTTCCTGATGGATAGACGCCCATAGGAAGTCTTTTGGAACAATACAAGACACAGCTGACCCACATCTATGCGCTATAGCAGTCAGCATGTCTAGCTGATGTTGTGACTGTAGTGGTAGAACGAAGCGGAATAACGCAGAAAACAGATGACTACAGACGGCTATAGCAGACGCAACACCAACAGAAGCAATAAGCTCTACACACAGCACAGCAAAAGATAATTGTCGATTGTTGCAGGTAGCGACCATACGCCGTAGTGAAGCGTTTACTGGCATCACTGTAAATGATCGCAATGTCTGGCCACACTGAACTGAAATGGAAAGCGACATTTTCCCTGTAAATCATAGTTCTACGATCGATAGGTAAATAAGCAAAAAGTCCTCTTGGGAAACGTATCACCGGTGTCGTTTTAGTTGTCAACCGCAAAGTTTATCACCAGGAGCTTCTTTGTTTATTTAAACATCACCGTGAAGTATTGTCGTCGACGCTATTGGCAAGATTACGCGTCGAAGGTTGCGCACTGGCCGAAATGTGAGCAAAAATTAATGAGAGGTTGATTTGCAGAGTTACACTTGTACCCGTAAAAAAAAAAGCACCCAGATCTATAATGGAGCGTATATACGCAAGCAAACGCTAGCATGCATGTGTTCAATTGAAAATAAAGTAAATTACTTGCTTAAAGTACCATCTAGCCTTCCTTTAATTTCTCTTTATTTGGATGTGTTTAAATATTTAGAAGTGCTGAGATTATTAGTTGACATAAGTGTCCATGGACAGAAGACAAAAAGCTGAGTAAATACTTTATATATATAGAAAATATAACGCTAACAATCCAATTCATGTCGCAATTTTTCATCGTTCTGCACGTAAAAATGATTCTAACTGTGCCTAAGTAAATATACCGGACAACCGTGTGGTAATACATCATGATATACGTCAAGCAGATAGATCACGTGTGATCTTAATATTTCGGTGACCTCTTATTAAATGTGAAGATCTACTATATCTAGTAATACAAGCACTTACGTAATACTATTTACGGGAGAAGATAGCTTACTGATATTATTTAGTGGTAAAAAACACATTATGATTTCATCTCCTGTATTTTTAATACACATGACCACACCTCGGACCAACGAATAATACTAAGACTGGCAAAGTGAACTACACTCTAGGTTTTAGATCTAATCATTACTTTTGTTCATACTAAGTTGCAGTCTCTTCAATATAGGATTTTCTCATTTTAATATATCCAAGACAATGCTAAAAAACAACTTACATTCTTCCCGAAGGACATTCTTCCAAACATGAAACGAATGATTTAGATCTCCAAGGCAATGGACACTGAATCGGCTGCCTAAAGCCCCTCGAACCTTATCTGAACATCCGTAAAACGCTCGTCGAACTCTCGAATGCACTAGGGCCATTGCGCACATCGTACATGGCTCTCGCAGTAAATACACATCGTAACCTGCAATAAACAGTGAGCTATCATGACACCACCGACTGAATATTATGAAATACGTAAGTAACCGAATATGTCACAATTTTATTATATTTATCAAGTGGAATTTTGGGTTTACCTTCAGCATAGTTGATTAAATCTTTGTGGAATACGAAGTAAAAACAGTTTGAAAACATTCACTCACAGCATTTAACTCAGTAAAGAGGAACGACCCTATTAAAATCACGAGCTTATGGATTGTTCTATAGAAAAACAACAAAAAGTAAGTTGTTTTTACGATGAATTTAACCCTTGAACGCTAGCTTCGTATTTTGCAATAATTTAGTGTTACAAACGTTATCTACTATCTTCATATGCTCAATTCCAACTAAGATAAAAAAAAAGTATTAGTTATCACATTCCAAATACTATCTGTGAATTACATAAACTCTTCAATAACTAAATATACAATATTTAATAAATGAGGAGAGACTTGACTCAAAATCAGATGCAACAGATGTAAGATTAGATTCGATACGGGACTACTTCTTCATAATGTTGACTCTTCGTCGTATACATTGCATACTAACCTGTACAGATATATGGCGTTTTTGTGCTATCGCCATCTTCGCCAGTGGCGGAGTGGTCGCAGCTCTTGAGCATCTGATCGTTGTTTGGTACTTCTCTCACTCCCAACAACCTTTCTGTACCCCATGCACCGCCGCCCTGTAATGCGGCTACAAGATCAATAGCTGCCATTGTGGCGTGAAGGGCGGGATGGACATGTCTTCGGTCCACGCCAACGGCAAGCACTAAACCGTTTCGAGGATTCACGATTGCTGCGACATTGAATGTCATTTCAGCAGCACCGCAACTCTGGAGGATATTAAAGGGGCATTAAATGAACATACGGTCCCCAAAGGTTTCCTTATTCTCAACTGACCTCTAAAAGGGCGGGACACGTAAAAAGTTTAGGGCGGGAAAATTACCGCTGTAAAGTTTCACTCCTCGGTAAAAAATAGATTTTGCGAAAATTCCTCTATCGCTCTCACGCTGCAAGTTTTGTGAACATTCTCAATAAACTAACCACAAACCTAAATTATCTTTCTTTCACATTTCCATGTTCTGTGACCTCGTCTTCTGGACTTTGAGTAAGCGATCTGTATTGAAGGCGCGTGGCATCTTATTTTCGACATTGTTACTCTGGAGTGCATTTATTAAATTAATTTTAGCGAGGAACGATCGACATAGCCCTAGAAATGTATCAGGTTCGACAATACGCGCGGTGTTGAATCCTGCCTATCACAAGACATAGGCGGCTGTGTTACAACCGCGCCATTCCCTTGAATGGCTACATTTTTTTTGCACGCTCAGGGGTACTGCATATACTGCATTGTGATGGATAAGTTTGTTGATAAAACAATTTGAATTCAACTGACCGTTGGCGACGATACCATTATGGATTGTTCGTCGCGAGCCCTATCGACAACGATCTGCATGCATTTCCTCATTTGTTCACGATCTGAAGCAGAAAAAATTGTCCCATCCAATATACTCTTGGTAAACCTATCCTCATGGAATTGTGTAGGCCACATCTTTAAACATTCGTCGAATTGCTCGCGTGTCAGCGGTGTGTGAAGCGATACCTGTTTTCGACAGATAGATATAAGCCTTTTTGTCGACGACATGCTAAAGTACAACGATAGCCAAATGTATACCATGTGTGCATAGAAGATCCCTGAAAAAATTCCACTGACAAAGAGGCTTTACCAGGGATAATTTATGGTAGGCGTATTTGGTAAGCAGTACATTTAGGATGAGCTTGGCCGCGTAATGTGCACATGTGTGGCACGATTTGCTTTACTCGATAACCCCAAGGAACTGTTCGGAAAAGATTTCAATTGTCCAGACATATCGCTAAGCTTAGCTGAATATTGTCAATAAGAACTACTAAGGGTCAAATAATCCGGACTGTCAACTATACAAAGGCGGTGCCTATAGGCATAGTAAAAGTACTTACCTCATGTTTGCGAATGGTGCCAAGATCAAGGCCTTGTTTAACGACTGCGCTAGCTGCCCCAAGGTCCTTCGCGTCGTGACACAATATTACTTCCAGAACGTTTCCGTTGTTCCGAACCCGTTTTAGATGTTGTAACTCCTAAACAAGAAATAAACAAAATCACTCCAAGGGATATATATAGGCATGGTAACGAATGGTGTAAAAGGTTTTTAACCTACTTATTTCTGGAGATTTTTGAGTTCTTACTCGTATCAAATATCTGTAGATAAACCTACTACCAATGATTATAATTATTTAGCGTCAATATCTTTCTCGCCTTCATAAGGACGAACGTGTTAAAATTTGTGAGTACATGCTTTTAGTTCATATATATCCAAATGACAGTGTAATTTTGCAGCTACGGCGACAACGCTCGATATTATTGTTTCAAAAAAGACCAAGTTGCGATCGACAAAGTTTCCCTAGGTGATGAAACGCGGCTTTTACCTTTAGGGGAAATTGCTCGCTCAGAGATTTCACAATGGAGGAGGTACACTTCTTGTCGACGACTGTTGCTATCTGCACAGTAGTTCTTTGCACAGGCCGAACGAAGCGTTCAGGTAAGACGGGCATAGGCTCCAAACGCGCCTTCTTTGTAGCAAGCACTTCGAACGCCATCTTGGTCTTCATTGGCTGACAACAATAAGATTTAAGACAACAGTTGAAAATTCTCAAAATAACAACGACAACAAAGACAAAATCAAGTTTTACGAACATGTATCTTGTACAGGTTGCTCACGTCTGTTCTGTCCGCTCTTATCACTAACATACATTACCGAATTCAATCTGAACAAAACAGAACGAACATCTCTTACTCAGGATTAGACAGATACAATGTAAAATAATTTCAAAAGATTCAACGTTTCCTCAAAAAACTCTAATAATCTTTGTTAACACTTTCAAGTTTTAACTCGATTCACGTAATTTGAAAAAACTCCCAGAATAGGGGAGAAATTATTTTTATTTTTCCTTAAAGTGTTCTTCTCTTATTTGTCGTAAGCAGTTTAATCATATCAAGCACTGCATCAACGAGCTTGAATCTGATGTCACTAGTATACGCATGAAAGTTCATAGGCGAACCCGCGAGCTTCGTTGAATAACTAGGTCGAGTTTCATTGCTATATCGAAAAGCGGCGTTTTTATTTCTTTCAGAAATACCACCATATCGCTAAGTTAACAAGCACAATATTCAAGAAATTCAACCATGCAGATCATTAGCCTGATCGCTTAAGGCTTACATTTCGTATCGCATTTTCAGCTCTTGTTCCTATGAAGCGACACATTAAAACACTGATAACCACACTTTATAGTCATAACTGTAGACAACAGAATCCTAGCCAGTCACAGAGCAGCTTTAGACGAGTGCACGATTGGCTAAAAGCAGCTGGCTGGCTTCTTGATTCAGTTACTGCTGCTGCCATTGCTCCTGGACACCATACAGTGAGTACACTATGGAACTGTCGCCCAGTAGACGTCACGAGCGCCCCCTGTAAACAAATTGCCATGTGCTTTTTCAGCTGGGCCCGACTGATGGTCAACGGTGAAAACAGCTGACTGACTTAGCGAGTTCGTTCTTTCCCATCTGCTGGATTGCTCAGCTGACCGCCTATTAGAGTACGTCTCCTATTGGATTTACAATGAGCAGCATTAGAGCAATCGCTATCATGTGCCTATGGCGTCGTCGTTTAGATTACAAGACAATGACTTGCTGTTGAATCGTGACGTACATTTTCCTGAATATCTTTGACGGACAAACAACAGATAGTTCGCCCATCTGTTAGATAAGCACGGTTATTTACTCATACAATGGAAGTAATTTCATTACAAATATTATCAATCCATAACAATAAGTTATTGTTTAGTTTACAGCGTAAGGCTCTTTACATCTTTACGGTTTGGATGCTCTGGTACTACGGCGATGAGGAAATGTTTTGTGTCCTGGAATAAGCAATAGGGCAATGAGTTGGTCTCGCTGAGTTACGTTAGGCCTAATGAAAGCCTCGAAAGAATAAGCAGTTGTGCGTGTTTCCTCACTGACAGTGAGTTCTATGTTATATAAAAAACATGACATAAGTGAGGTGACTTAAAACGTCTAGTGTGGCTTCAAACCATAAGCAGATTATGGTGTGCACTTCTTGATCTGTTGGAGCTTATAATAAATCCTATCTTGCTTGTTCAAGGCAATATTTGCTTACTATACTGTTTATTTGATACTTCCTTTTATCAAGGAAACTTCTCTAGTTAGTTGTTGAAGTCGGAATGTTATTATATACTTGTTTCTTATTATATACTTAATTATATACTTGTTTTGTCCGTATATTTGCGTCTGTCTAACTGAAATGAATTTTAGATATAGTAAAAGAGGCGAAAAGTTCATCATTGATTAAAAAAGAAAAAGCTGAGACGATTTCGGCTGCTTCTGCACAAACTTGATTATCATTGAGAAATCACTAGCACGAGTCCATAGGAGAGTCGAGGACTATGTAGAAAAGGAGTTTGTCACGGCTATAGTAGTGGGAAAGTGGACAAAATAATTCTATTCTGGAGAGTCGGCGATTACAGGCTCCAGCCGGTTTTCAGAGTAGCTCCATCGTGTTCTGACAATGCGCTTATCATTATGTAAACAACTTTTAGTAACTATTTGATGACCTAATTTGAAGAGTAGAAATTTAACAAGGCTCTAGTCCTATTTCCTGTTAATACACAGTATCGAACTGTTAGCAGGTTCTGATGATGTTCGATCGATTTCCTGCTATAAAGTTGTTTTGTTAGGTTATTTTTTCATTGCTTCAGAGTCGTCAGCATCAGTAACAAAGATCTAAGGATACACTGCTTCATCCGTCGCATGATATCAGAATGAAACGTTACGTTTCTTTCGCATTTCGATCACACAAGAAATACATTCATTCGTCTGCCGCACATCGTCTTAGACATATGAGTATTCATGATGCGCGCGCAAAAATATTCCTGTTTTACATCGTCCAGGTTGTATATCTGAACATTAATTCGAATGTCAAAGTTAGATTCTGCATTGTATACGACCTGTTTGGTCAGGCACATGTTTGGACGCCGCAGATCAATCCGTTCATGCTTGTTCATTACAGATATGATATGCTGATCTAAATACAATAAGCTAGCTCTGCTTAAATTGAACATCTGTCATTGTTAGAAGCGTTTTTCATATCTATTTTATTGTCGAGGGTATACGATGGGTACAGGTTAGGTAACATGCTGCACCGAAAATACCAACACAGAGGTTCTTTTATAATTTTATACCTAGTTACCTTCACCGATAAAACGTAAACGTATACAATATTTCTCTTCGCCGCTTTAGGGTGTATCTAATGTTCGGCGCATTCAGTTAGCAGACCGCTCCATAATCAATGTTATTGGTTAATAACGGTGTGCATTTGTCAGATTTTTGATCAAAAAGCTCAACTACCAACTCCTTATCGCCGGCCATTTTGGATCACAATGCTCAACCGTGCTGCTGCCAGACTTCCTCCAATAAAGGAGCCGTAAAGCTTTTGTGTCGTCTGTTCCGAGCCAACTCTATGTAAGCGCACAAGCGGGCTGAACGGTGTGTGATGATGCGTCTATCCGCAAATACATGCTCTCCATGTAGAATGCTTTGCGGGCTTAACTGCTGTTGGATGTTGGCTCCGTACTCCTAAACGAGCTGGAAAAACAGGCCGCCTTTGCCGACGAAGGTGGTATTTTGTGCAGGTAACGCCTGTGCTAGCCCGTTATGGTTATTGAGTATGCTACTTTCACGTAGGTGCGCGTAAACTACCACCCACTAAACATCTTTAATAGTAGTCGATCTTTTTTGTTGTCGTGGAAGATTCTTGTTCAATTTCACAATAGAACAGAAAGAGGCCACCGTTTTCACTTTAAGGAACTTTTCTATCCGGCAACCCATAGGACGGCAAAAGATTACCAACATACTTTCACATCCTGTGATGCTTTCAGCGTACATAGGCAACTCAAATCTATGCTCATAGCCTGTTGTAGCAGGCGACCACGTAGAGTGGTGGGATTAAAGCCTGCGGAACCCGCACGTGTGTGTGCAGTTTAGTTAATTCTGTTGTAAATCGTCGCGCGAAGTTGTAAAGGCGCGGTTTTGACGCAACGAATTCATACTGAGTCTGGAAGAGGCACCGAATATTGAAATGTCACATTGGAGCCAAACTGAGATCCTTATCCGAAAGCTGCGCCCTACCTGCGCAGCTTCTCGTTCCGTGTCAAGCAGACACGTCGAGGATAGATATTAAAAACGGCTTTAATATACCATTGCATTGAGATATGCTAAGCGCTGTGAGTGTGTCTCCGTGGGATAAAGAAGTGAAGAAGTCGAGTCACATCGATTGCGGTCGGAAATGAGGTAATTAGTCCTGTCGCAGGACTTTAGTTTTGTTTTTCTGTTTGACTGTTTTTAAGGTGGAATTCGTCCGCGAATCCTCGAGTGGTTATTGATCGAACATCGAAGAAAGGCATAGACATGCTCACAATTGTCTTCATACAGTACCTTGTGTTAATCGACGCGTTACGCAAGAGTTATCATTGATCATATTTCTACGTCGCATTGCGTGTGGAAACTCTAGTACGAAACAGCAGTTGAACAAAGACTACGGATAACGCTTTTCCTGCAACGAGATATAACTTCTCTGTATTAGTCACAACCTGTGGATGAGTGTGACATTCTGAAAAGACCTATGTATTTGTTTGAAGGCGTGCAAAAGCAGTATCGCAGTATAGAACTGAGTGCAAGTGATGTATATAATGGCAATTTGAAGCCCTTGGCGACTAGTACCGTTCAACGTTTAAAAAAATGTTTAAATGTACTAAGAACGTCTTTGGCCCATAATATGTTTTTCCAGTTGATGTGTACTGAATATAACTTTCGACCAATTAACTGCAAGAGATGCCGTCACTTGCGGGAGAATTGCTGGTAAAAAATGAGCTCAAGAAGCTGGATTTTAGCCGAGATGGACATGTTTACGTGGAACGTTACACAGTCAGCGAGTTAACTAACATTGCCAAACTGATGAAATCTAAGAGAGGTAAGAGACTTTATGCCATCGACAGCACAGCTGGTCGACGCTATGGCATCATGCTCGGCAGAGACTAGACTGCTATTGATGGAAAACATTATTTATGATTACGTATTAAATCTACAGTTATTTCAGTGTTATCCAACGTAACCATATTGTTTGGCAACTAATTCAAGTTTTAATTAGTGCAAACGTGTATATGCTGCCTCGAATTTTACTAAAGTGGATTTTATTGTAGCAAAAGGATCACGTGCTTGAGTGGGATTCATTGTCCATAGGACTAATAGGTAGCGGCTGCAATTATATAGTTTGATGTACTTTGGCTAAATTTATTTATTATTAATGCTTCAGGATTGTATACAGTACAAATAAGTGAAATGTCTTTTATGGTGGAAACGACGGATTCTGTCCTTTTTAATGGTAAATTAAATAGGCCGATAATACCTTATGAAATGCCTTCTTAGAAAGAGAACGCTAAAAATTTTTAAAAAAAATCTTGTACATTTCAGCGTTTCGGCATCTCTTAAAACGCCCAGAAGACAAAATGCGGCATTTGGTAAGTTTGTCCGGCATTTTGTATTCGTCTGTATAGTTCTTTGGTGAGAATCTTGGACATCTTTTTTAGCCAAAGCGTTTCTTACTTTCATACACGTATATACGTAGTCGAGAGGTGGCTGATGATAGATGAGTTTCACTTAAGCGAATTTTTTCCGCAGCTTTAATCAAAATATTTAATTTTTCACAACGTGGAAAAAAGAATAGTTTGTCTCGAAACCCTAGCTACGTTACATCTATAATTATCAAAGAACTTAAATTCTGTTAGTTCTACAAAAAATGATCTTCTTTAACCTAAATATTAATACTAATACCAATAGTTTTAAGATAACGAATATATATATATATATATATATATATATATATATATATATATATATAAAACAGTATTGTTTACTGAAAAAAAATATAAGAACGAAGCGATCCCACATAGTATGTTAGGCGTTTTCGCGTTGGCTTTCAAAACGATAACCTTTGTCATTTGCCACAACATTCCCATATTTTAGGAAAATAATGAAAATATACCTTAGAGACAAATCTGAATGAAATGAAGGACCGCATGGATGCGCATGCGCTCTACGGAATCGAAACTGGAGACCCCTATAGTCTTAAGTATACGCTTAGAATTAAAGTACTGTCCATTTTGACGCATGTGCTTCGAAAAGCTTTGATATAGGTATATGCACAGCTTGAAGTAAAAAGCTCTTGGCATATCAACAGCCTTCATTTACGTTAGAGTAGCAAAGATATATTAAAGAAAATTGTATCAACACTAAAAGTATTTAGAAAATATGACCGTAAAGCTAATTCAATTCTGATGTAAGAGTAGTATTAATTTTAACGATTTATCTTAAAGGAAAAACCGTTAGTGGATCCTCAGTCTCGAATCAAACTTGAGACCACTCCGCTCACATCATCTTTGAAAATGGTCATCAAAGTACAACAAGTTTCCTCAAGTAGTTCGTCGGATGATTCCGAGGAAAGCAATGACGAGGATGACGTGGAAGAGCCTTTCGTTGATGACGAGATCTTCAGCAAAGTTTTCAAGCCGATTAGTAAGTCTTAACGAGATTTTTATAAATATTTTTTTACTTTTAAAATTATTTCCATATTTTATTTAGAGGCTACTTTTTAGTACGTATCGTTAGCTAATATCCTTTTGGAACAACCTGTGCAACAAAATGTGTGGTCGTTTCTGAGGTGATTAATATTAACTAGCTCATTATAAAATCACGGTGTTTCATTATACTACCTGAAGTGTCGCTACCACAGCTTCACGCAATAAACAATGAAGATAAACCTTATTTTCTAGTTCAGTCGAATCAAAAACAACGACATTTATCTGTGTGTGAATTGAATACATCGTTGGCAATATGCATTGCAGTATATCCGCCTTATAATCCACAGAATATCTTATAATAATGCTTCAGTTTCGTAACGGCAATCATGCTAATAGCTCGTTATGTCGAATTTGGGATAACATAGTTCGCTCTATTTTACGCTACAATTTTTATATAAAAACTTAATTTAATTAACATATAAGTAATTAAAATTAGATCTAATAATTTGCAATTCTCAATAGTCTCTTCTGTGCTCGAATGTCTACCTTCGTTGCGCAAATAGTCGTCAAAAATGAGTACTATGGTATTAATCAAGACCGTAGTTTACGAAGAAGTGACTAATATATGATAATACAAATAATATATCATTTCTATAATTGATCAGTTTTTGTGGATTTTTTTACGGAAGCTAGGATATAATATGAACGATATGGTAAACTGGCTTTTATCCGAACTTGCATTGTTTGTTTGAATTGAAAACGTGTGATTATTTCCAAACACCTAATCAGAAAATATATTGATCTGGCTGAATTTTCAGGATCTAGTTCGTTGAAACGGAATACTTCATCATCGAACGTGCCTGTATGTTATAAACACAATATAAAATTTTATATAATGACAGAAAAGCTTCCTTTAATAGGTCAAGTTATTGTAAAAATTAATATAAAATGTTCTGAAATGACAAATGTAGCGCTTCCATAACATCTTATTTTCTATATCGTCGTTGATTACACAACAATAGTATTTTGAAAAATGTTCATACATTTTTATGTTTTTTAATATACTGACACCTGACGTTTTGGCTGCTTTTCGTGTCAGTTTTTCATGCATGAGAGGAACTTTTAACTGGTAGTAAGCAGCAGGCCGGAGCATATCAACAACATTCGTTAGTAACGATAAGTACTACAAGTGACGACGACGGTGACCAGGACTAAGATCTCTAATAAGACTTTAGGTGCCTGAAAGAAAGGGCAACGCAACTTGCATAACTCTGCTGAGTAATTCGTGTGAAATATATGAATTTTCTGTGCGAACTCTGCCGTTTCTGCTGAATATTTTTTTACCAAAACCGCTGCAGGTGATTGCGAGACACTATCTGATAGCCATTTTCATTTATTGGAAATACGTAACATTGGTAACAGCAACAAGCAATGCCGGACAACACTCACCATCGCATAAACCTAGAGTCAACTAATGTTGTGTATTTGACCTGTGAACTGGGTGCCTGTGGTCCAATGGAGCGGAAATTTAAGTTTCATATCTGTCATAAAACCATAAATTGTTTTCCTCGAACAAAAGAAGAGCGGACAGAATAATTTGGAATTAGTCATACACTGTATCATAATTTCACTGTAATCATAAGCATATCATAACTTGCCACAACGATGTAATCTAAATAAGTTTTGAAAGATGGACGTATAATTTTGTTAATTATTTAATGAGGGTTTTTCAAAGCGAAGACCGCCGAATGTTTTTCATAAAGCAGTTTACTTTAGAAGCTTACGTCCGAGCGGCCCGACAACGGTTACGGGAGGGTAGAATTAATAGAAATTATTTTGTCTAGAAGATCAAGTGAAGTGCTTCTGAAAGTAAAGTAGCTATAGGACAAACCGACGGTGCATGTCTCAAAGTCAGAGTTTTTTTTCTGATTTGAAAACGAACCGTCTAGAAGTTGCCCTTTGCTTTTTGTGCCCGTACAACAATGATTGTACGAGTATATTGACGTCGCCCTGCTAAACGTTGAATACTTCGCTTCGATCGACAATTGGATGGTATTCATAAAACGTTGTTAATATCTAAGAAGTGCCTACATACCGTCCTTAGGACACTAAAAGCCGATCTATATTGAAATAGGGTTTTTTCCATTAGTGGGATTTATGATCCGATAGCTGGTCAAACGTCTGCCTGCAGCGTGTTTTTTTACTTCATTGATAGGACGTGCAAAGGAGGGATAATCGAAAAGATTTACTTTCAGTTCCTGTTCTGCTGCAAGTTCATCATGAGTTACACCTGTAATTCTTATTCTCAGCGTCGATGTCCACTACACGAGTACATTTATTTAAAAAAAAAAAAAAGAAGCAAACTGAACGTGTTCTTTAATCGTGATCGTATATGTAATAACAAATTCAATAAAGCCGGTTTACTTAAATAATCCTCTACCCGACTGTAGAGTTCGGCGTTGGTGAACTCGTCCCGACTGGAGCGGGAAAATACTCAACGTCATCTTGGGTCCGACAGTAAGGCCAACACAACATTAAGATCGACTAAATATCTTGAATCGGATGTCGATGAAGAAACGTTCAACAAAACCTTCAGGCGGGTTCGCCTTTTTCCGGTGGAAAAGGATGATCCAGGTACACTATCAAATTGTTTGGTATGAGACGGTATGGCGAACTCTAACATTTTCACTGACTTAGTTTTTCTTTTTTAATCTTCAATCGAAGTGTGCATCATTGGTATTTTTGATCTTTTGTTATTTAAGTGATAACTTATTTATTCTGTCGCTGTGAATATCAGATGTATGGGAGTCTATGATATCTGGAAAAGAAATGTATACATCATGTTGAAATTTGCACAATTTTCCTATTATAAAATAAAAAATTAAAATCTGTGGAAAGTGTCTGATGAGTATGTGGATGACAAAGAGCCTTCGACTCTCTTCCTGTCTCTTTGCACTCTTGATTCTGTCCGTGCGATGTCGAGTGTTATCGTAGAATTGGAGTGGTTTACTTTTGTTCACTGTTCTCGGCTGTTTAATGCGTAGTTTTCTCATCATCTCCTCCAATTGTTGACAGTACACTTCAGCCGTAATCGTCGTACTAGGAATCATGCAGCTGCAATGAATGCATTAGACCATAAGCCATTGCGCCTGCGAATTTGCTTAGCGTGACGATTCGGTCGTTCAGTTACTTTCACCCATTGATGTGACCGTTTGCGATTATCGTAGAAGATCCATTTTCGTCACAAGTGACAATTCGATGCAAGAGTCAGCTACTGTTGTAACATGAGAGCAAAAAGAAGCAAGCGTCTCTGCGTGTATGTTTCTGATCCTCGCTTAAATCATACGGGGCCAGTTTGTCAATTTTTTTTTTACCTTTAATCCAGGTATGGTATTTTTACATGCACTAAAATTGAGCGCTTATACCGGTACACTTTATGAGCGGCTACCATAACGGCTCTCAACTTTTGGTTGTTTCGCAAAAGATCGTGCACGAGACTCATTTAGGCTGGAATTTTTCTTAAAGGTTTTTAACTCACGACTCACGGTGATTGGAGAAGTAGAACCTTCACTATACGGAGAGTCATATTTCCAGGATGGAACTCATGTCCATAAATTACCCGAATTTTTAGATTTTATTTGGCTCACGACGACTTGATTGCTAAAAGTCCGAGCGAACGGTCTATGATTTCAAAGAATACGAGCGTATCCTAAATACAAAAAGAATATCGCCGAACGTCGCCCCGATATAAAATAGCTTAATCTATATATAATATGACATTAATGTTTGTCACGGGTCACACTGACCAATTTAATATATTTGGTATATACAAACGCAAGGAAGACAAAACGGCGGCAGTTTTGTTTTATTTTCGAAAATAAAAAAGTCAATCATTTTTAGCTGTCTATAGATTTAAGTATTTATTCGTGTTACTAAATCCAATCTAAATCTAATATGTATGTGTTGCTCTTTGTAGAGTCGATACGAATCAATGCGGCTTTATACTTGCAGATTTCTCAAAAAATTATCATTATCAATGATATTTTTAGCAGCTCACAATACAGTAAAGCTTATGCTTGATTTGTGATCAGCTGTATGTTATGTGTGTGACTATCTGAGCATGTTCAAACAATTTATTAATTTACGTATAGTAAATAATGAAATCCTATAGGAGAAAAGCATGATTACGGTGTTTTATGTTGCTGTTACCTGTTTATATTTCTCAATAACACATATACCCTTTGAATCTTTCTTTTACAGTTGACAAATCCTCAATGTCAGGTGCACTAGCAACAGCTAAAAGCTACTGTGGAGCATCGATACTATTTGACTCAATGTCAATTGACGCAAAGGAAGTGAATCCACCCACGGGCGTTTTTGTTCCGCCGAAAACAAACGATCAGCCCGCTGCCCATAAAACCGAGGTACGAGTTTCAAGCTAGTTACCTTCTGGGCATATATTGCAATTACAGGAAGTGTGGTATAGTGCAAGAGAGCTTATTTCTGAGCAGCGCCTCCCCGTTCGAGCTCAGGAAATATCTAATCCAGGAACTCGTTTGCAACTATTAATTTTCGCTCTATTACAAAACAATGGGCAGACCTAAATGAGCTGTAAATAAGTAAATATCAAGTTTTAACTCACTCGACCTAACGCTGCACAAGCGAAGTCTTTCGCGGCATCTACCAAGTTCATTTCAACTCGTTCGACATAGGTAGATCGACATACTTTTAATCTAGATTTTTTTTACTTGCAATAAAAGACATTAAAATCATACGCAAACATACTTTACGCTTGGAAGTATGAATAATATGTAATAATTTAATTTAGAAACCTACCCAAAGAAAACCTACATCACAGTATGTTGAATAGTCTTTAGGGCAGTGCGATATGTGAGGCTTAGATATTTTTCTATTATGTTATCTATTCTATCTGTTATGTTCTATTATGTTCCGTTGTATTTATTTGATTTTTCGGATCGGACGTCGGATGAAGAGGAATACATCAGCATTTCTGTTTTATATGTTGTCTATAGAGTGACAAGTTTGGTAACTTTGGTTTTTTAGGAGTCGCTTAGTGTTGAAGCGGCAGCCCACAGTCTGGTAAAATCAGTAGCGAATTCGGAAAAGGAGGGGAAGCCGAACAGAGTTGGTGAGGAATTACTTTCGGTAGTTGATCCTTTCGCCTCAACTTGCCTGCAGAAGTATCTGAAGCGATACCACGACTTCAAGGTACTACCCACTGTCAGTGTTTTCTGTCTTATACAGAACTCCGAATACATTTCTTCACTAAGGCAGCTGGCCTATTAAGGCACCTGGTGTTGGGGTGCCCGCAGTTGGTCGACATTTACAATTCTGATTATTACAATTCTGATTCGATTTGTGTATACTGTAAACAGGCAAAGTCTTCGGATTTGGTTTCGCCAAAGATGAAACTGATTGACCCGCCAGAAACGTCGACAGACTCTACACCGTCCGTATCATCACGGACATCGTCGAACAAGGATCGTTTATCGCAAGCGCACAAGCCTTTAACCTACCTTAACGATGTTTGGTCAGTATTAAGAAGTAGTATACTATATGAAAGGGAAGACAGGAGACGAGTAGCTAATCGCTAGATGTCTATCAATACTATTTTCGTGTGCTGCTGTTTTTGCTTTGATTTCTGTTGGACCTTATCAGCAGCGATGACAACAACCCTCTACGGAAATCAAAAATTCCAAAAACTCTGCCGTGCATAGCCGAAAAACCGGAAATACCTCCTACAACCGAATCTCAGCCTTCTGCAACCAATGTGCCCACCAGCCCACCAGCCCAAGGTATGATGCCTGAGAGTTCTTCCGACGACTTAATGCTACATACGGTGGACGCGAGAACTCATCAGGACTGGCAGGATAAAAAGGCAGCTCGTCTGTTTCGAAGATCTCTTCTGTTCGTCAAAAAAGGAGGTCGTGTATCAGTGTCACGATATGCGCCAGACTTCGCTAGCGTAGGAGTCACACAGAATTCTGCTATATATGCGGCCTCGGCATTAACCTCTGCGGACCGTCTGGTGACACAGGAACAGGTGCAAGAACAAAGGGAGCTAAGGCAACGTTTAACGACAGCGGAAGATAGCGTGGATACGAAACAACATATCGACACTCATCAAAGCGAGGTTGTCACAGGTAATGAACCGTCGTCAGCTGCGATCAAACAGACGAAAAACGCCAAAAAAGACACAACTGAAACAAAGGGGCCTGCCAATTCGGTTATTTCAACACAGGTTAGTGGATGCATGTCATGTCCGATGATTATCATTGTTGTTGTAGCGAGCTTATGTGATCGCAGTATTTCTAAAAAGGTTGTATAGTTTACGCTATGAAAACACCATATAACTATTTCGTTGAGAGCTACGAGAACATTAAGGACAACGCTGCCATAACGATGTATCTACCAATCGCTAATTAGGTTACGAGTGAGGCAAACGCGGAGGAACAGAAGCAATGTAAAATATCTAATTTGATGCGTTGTGATTTGTCGCAGGTCGTGCAGGAAATTAACGACGCTTCGTCAGACAAGCTTGCGATGACACGCCGTGGTAGAACTATTAAACGAGCTTCGCGGTTCACAGATTTTCTTGTAGGTGACACGAGATTACCCACAAAACGAAGCGAAAAGTTGAAAGAACGACGAGTATCGAAAACAATCGAAACTTGTCCACAGAAATGGGATGAAGGCCAAGACGTTACAGATCGCCAGCAACAAGCCATGATGCCGCCAATAACGCAAAACACCGAGGTTCTTACTAGCATCACTAAGCGACAGCAAAAGTCACCAATTGCTGGTAGCCTAAAGAAAAGTAGTGACAGGGACTCACCTAGCAGTATCGATCCGTTCATGTCATCAGGTGACGAGGCCGAACTCGATGAGCAGGAGGTCCCAGAGCAAAAGTTCGTACCCTCACTTAACGAGGTTACCCACGAAGCACAGTCAACAAACGAAATTCCAGATAAAGCCGACAGCGAAGGCCAGTATCCCGACCGGACAATTGCGCCGGTAATGTTTATTGCCGATGTAGAAGCAAAATTAGCGACGGAATCGCCGAAGGCAAAGACGCTGCCCCTGGCACCGCCTTCTCAGAGGAGTCCTCGAATAAATGAATCGTTTCCACCGAGAGCAAGTGCAGCTCCACCTGCGCCCAGCTGGCAGGCGGAAGTTCAACGGGTGCAAAAAGTGCTTATCAACCCAGCAATGGTGGGTCATCACCTTTTCTATATACTGCTAGTTACATAAATGCACTGAATTAGATTGTTTAAAAGTAAACTGAACTAAACAAGACGATGAGAACAATTGAATTAATTGAATAGCGTACGCTTATTTCTTTTGCCTGGCTTGTCATATGTATCAGTAAAACCATTCTTGTAGTGAATAGGATCACATTTCCCGTGTCCCATCCAAGTATTTGTAAAATAATTTTACTACACATATAATCGAAAGTTCATAAACATTAGGTCAAAGTGATAAAATCAAATTATAAATCAATGTACATGCATAGAGGTAAATCATGAATATTTTGATAATTTGTTTGTGATAATTTCTTTTGACTTTAGGGCGTCACAGCTTCGGAGGAGCTCGCGGCTATTGTAGAGCTCAGCCAAATGTTGTATAATGAGCCATGCACCGTAAGCGTGGAACAGCTCATGAAAGATCTAAAGACGTCTTTTTCTATCGAACTTCGCAATCACGAACAGCTCATTCGTTGGAAGAAATTTCTCATTATGCGTAAGCTTGAGATGCGTGCAAGACTGAGACACGTGAGTAGTATAATGATCTTATTAGGGAATTGAAGACCCACTTAGGTCATATTTTTTTTTTATTTTAAGGCGGCTAATTAGGCTAAGAGTCCGTAAACGTTCTTGGCTAAGATAGACGATTTGGATTAACGGAGTTATACAAGAGCTGGCAAAGGTATCTAGCATGCGACTGAGCATATGTCTGGACTCTTTGTCAGCAAAACCTTCGCCCCTGGCAGACAATACTGGTGAATACTCCAGTATTCTACGAAGTTGTAAGTAAAAACTGGTTGAGTTAGAGAAGCAATGAGTTTAAAGATAACATCTTTTAATTACAAAAACAAAAGTTTACCGGTCAGGATTTGTTCCTTGAAGGCCACAGCGCTGTGGAAACTGCTCGTAGATTCGTAAAGACGTTAGGTAAGAAAATGTCAGACAATAGCACAGTATCTGAATTGTACAAACGTTTCAAAGACGGGGATTGAACTGTTGAATATTAGCCAGAAGGTGACCGAACGGACAAGAACGCATTGGCGCAATCGAGAAGTCTTTACGAAAGTAGATCTTGGAGAGTAAGGGCTCTGTCGACCAAAACAGCAGATATGTTGCAGAATTATAACCCAAGTACTGAAACAGAGTAAAAATTAATCTCCGTAAAATGATCCAGAGCAACTGAAAAAATAAAACGTAATCTACATGTAATATGCGGGACTTCAATCGGCAAAAAATCTGCCTGAAGAATACGGCCGGCATGGATGAGACATGGTTTAATCTCAACCGCCGGAATGGCACTGGAAATTAAGCAATGAAGGCAGCTCGCAAGTTTGAGCTCCTCGAATACCTCACGAAGTCTTGGAACGGCAATCGGTAGCACGCAGTCTGATTACTTGATAGTATCGTTACAGCTCATCGCCATGCCTCAGTTACTTCTAGGATTGATCAAAGGATTATTCAGCGTTAACTTGAACCTGCTTATTTTCCTAATTCAGTTCTATATGATTACGGGGCTTTCCAGGCACTAAAAAGGGTCGCTGGTGCGTAAGCATATTCCATGATTGACTTATTTTGAAGTCCATAGGTAGAAAAATTAGATACATGAACGTGAAATAGTATGTGGTTGTCCAGAAGCTGCTGAAGAACTGAGCTAGTATGTGAGAAATAAAGGAAAATACATTTAATTTATATTGAATAATTCTAGCCTAACTAGTCGAAGTCCGCCAAATTTACTTGTAACTGCGTAATAATTCCACTGAATAAAGTAATCGATCATATGTGTATAATAATAATAAATTTGTTTGCATTAACAGCTTAGAGAAATCCACAAAAAGCATTGTCCACTACCACACAGGATAACCTATGTAGGGCGTCAACAAGCTCTGCATGGTACCATGGCTCTGGCAGCATCCGGCAGTACTTCTAACAAAATCACACCGAGCCGACACCCAGGACTTAAGCCATCTCAGCTGACATCACTTATTCAACCAGGAGAGCCGGTGATTGTTGTACCGAGTTTGCATGGCCGCAGTAGGTGCGTCAACGCTGGCACAGCTACGTCTTCCGCAAAGGGTCATGTTGTTTACGTACCACAGAACGGTCCCGGCAATCTCTCAGTTACAAAAGTATCGCCTCCTCTATTGGCTGTACATCCAATTGGCGCTCAGTCGAATCCAGTTGTGCCGATATCACCAATAATTCCAGCCGGGCAAAGATTTGAGGTGGGTACATGCAACCTGAGGCATATTGACATCGATCGGGAGGCATATTGACATTGATCGGGTCTATTAGTCTTAAATTCATCATAGAGAAACTATTATACATATACATGTATTTGTTTTATTAATTATGTAACTAACTATTATGCACGTCGTGTATTACCTAATGCAAGTACAATTAGTAAAATATAAATACATCAACTAATCGATATCTAATATAAAGGATGATATAAAATTCTTTTTGTGGGATATATTTAACGGCGTATGTTATTCAAACACGTAGGTTTCTAAAAAGTTAACGCAGAGCTCATTTGTTAATGGAAGAACGATGGGCTCAGTTTTCATTAAGTTCGAAGAACGTATAAATTTATGTCCAAGCCCACTAATAGCTGAAGGAACGAATGGCTAAGTGGTTCAATTTAACAGCTCGGTTCGCCATTCTAGTTAAACCTGTCATGGTAATCGATTACTATTGCAGGTACCGACTTCTGTTTCACCCTTTTTGGCAAACCACGCAACACCACATCGACATGTAGTGTCAGCTCCAATATCTAAAGCAGGCTTGCGACCTGTGCCAGCTCCCAAGGGTGTACCTGTAGTAACCCAAGGACTTTCGCGCACGGGTAAAATTCTGCTCAAACCTATAGGAGGCAGCTTTGCCGGTTCTCCGCCGCGTATTATTCGCCGATTGATTCCCATCAATCGAACATCCAATGGAACTCCAGTTGTTACACCTTTATCGTTGCCATCAATGGCTAGCAACGGCGTTGCTCAATCTCGTCCAGGGATATCCTTGCTTAGGAAGCTGGGCTCTAATGATAGCGGTAGCACAACGGCATCACTATTACCAACATCACAATCGGCGTCTTATATTTCAACGGTCAATGGAAGGCCACCCGTGGCTTATCTGCGATTATTGAATCCAGCCGATGATGGTATGCAGCCTCTAGGAGGAAATACAGCCCCAGCAGAAACAACCCCAAGCAATTCAGCAGAAACATCTGAAACCGGCATTGCACGAAATTCTGCTGCCAGCACTACTTCGCTACAGCGACGGAAGCAGTCGCTTAAGCCGTCGATTAATTTCGACCTGATGCCCCCCCCACTTGGTCGGCCCCCGAAAGCAAAAGCTTCTGTTTCTCCATAAACTGAATTTAAGTGCCAGTCCATCTACAATGCCTTTTGCCTTCAAAACCGTCATGTCCACTCGAACGATTCACTACAGAGTGGTGCCACTACCCAATGGCAACAATATGTACATTTGAGCAAACTGGGAATCTGGAACGGACCAATTCGACAGCCCAGCACCTAGCGAAGTATTTGTCAGAGTCATAGCGACCACATTATGGTGACATATACAAAAGAGAAACGTATGCAGCTGTTTTTATAATATAATAGGGTAAATGGGGTCGGGGAAAAGAGTAATAAAACCAGGTGCTCGCGTTGAAGTTGATGGACGATCGTAAAAGAGCTTCATTGATGCATTAAAACTAAATCGTATTTAAAAGAATCGATGGAAGCGACATTTGGAGGTTATAAGAGTCAAACTGTGAATTTCGTTCCTTAAAAAAAGATATAATAACTACGTTATAGTATCTTTCTTTTGGCAGCTCTTTGTTATTAAGGGTGCGTCAACTTTTTATGCGCTGGCTGAAAGCACAGCCTGAGATAAATACAGAGCGATATACAGGCTATCAAGGGACGTGACTATGTTGCAATGTAAATTGGGATAAAAGGTCGCAAATGATATTTCATAATACTTACGAACAACAATCATATTAAGTAGTGCAAAATTTTCTCCAGAGATGTCCCATATTGCAGACGCATAGCATGAAATAAAGAAAGGATTTTGACTGCTGATTCATACTGCCTATGTTTGTATATACGGTAAACGTTTTTCTGGCCATGAGATAGCGACCCCGTTGTGTGAAATACAGGCAACCTGTAAAAACTGCTAAAATAGTTATTCGCCTCACGTTAATGAAGATTACAGTTATCGATTCCTCTGATTTAACCGAGCGAGGTGTTATCACCTGTACATACACACGTATACATATTTATATCGAAATTCTAATGCGAAATACCAAAGTTGTTTGTATAACAATGTTGGCTATAAGATAAAAACGAAGCAAAAAATAAACTATTATTTTTAACTCAATAACGTTAGTTCGGTGTCCTTTTCATAGTTCATCGGTCGTGTGGTAATTACGTATCCCACATGGGCCAAACTAGTTAGGCATATCTGCCTAATATCATTTTCCAGCCTCTGATAGATAGAAACCCGCAATAGAACTTGTGTGATTCGCACCACAAACTAGCAGGGCCGCCGCATCATATGCATGACACGAGGCCAAATTACGGTGTTTATTAGAAACTTTGGTAATCTGAACTTCTCTGTTGAAAGGCAGTCTGTTGTAGTGAGATTAGGTGAACGAGCACAGCAGGATCGTGCAAAGCTACACAAGTTCACCTCAATATGCTATGCGTTCGTTCTATGCAGCGTTCATTTCTATAATATTTCAAATCTTAAGTTAGCTGAATCCTATTTCCATCTTTGGTACTTGCCAACGTCTGTTTTAGAACAAGCAACGAGTTCATACGTTTGATAATGCTCGTCTGTACTTTACAGTGTTTCCCAATGTCCCTTGAAAACATATGGGTAACGCTAGCAAATATGAGAATGTGCGAGCTTTTGAAATATTACATAAAGGTTTTTGCGTATATATGATAGTATTAGCTGCATATTAAATGGGAATGCATCGAGGTTTCTTGTATCACTTAAGAATGAATGCCTAACAAGTGTATATGTCTCCATATACACGACGGATGACAGTAACGAATAATCGATCAATTGTTTCAGAGTGTTCCTAAGGAAATGTCAATTTTGCACTCTGACATAACAGAGCAGGATCATAAGCTTCCGGTTAAAATAATGGCTCAGACTTGACTAGCGACTTTTGTTTGATCAGTTGCCTATTACGTGGATTAATTTCGAAATTCTTGTTACCAATTCTGTTCTTAGAAGCTTCTGAATTTGGTGCCAACAGGATTTCCCGGTATAAAATTAGGTATTATAACGAGCCAGAAGTTTTAACATCTCAGCCTTTTTTCTGGTTTGACGCTCGAGAGCCGTTCGCCAGTTGTGAACTACCACACATCAGATCAGTTCATGAGGTGGACACCTGAACTGACTTTTGGCAGATTGTGCCGCGACATTTTCGAGTCACGGGTTTGATATTGGCGTCCTTATTTGAACGCAGCAGGCAACGGCTGACAGTGTCGTCGTGAGGTTTCTGCTCATGAAGAAGCTAGGGGTCTGGAGGTGGTGCACTGTACGAGATTCGACCCTGCGAACCTGAATGACACCCCAAACATTTCGAAATGACTGCACTACCGTCTGTCATCGTCACTATAGTATATAATTATAGAGGCAATGCAGTTAGTGGAGAATAACTGCAAAGGAAGCGAGAAACAGCATCTTTGTTACAAATGAAGCATTTAAATAGAGCAACATTTAAATAGAGTGGCAACAGAGCGCCTTGGTAGGTCGAAAATGTTTGTCTTGTGACGCGGAGGCGTGTTATTTTCCTTGATAACTTACTCAAAAGTAGTTGATGCGTATATATGGGAAATATTTTTTCGGTGTTTTACATTCAATACTTGACCTATTAGGTATTACTTAAGATAATGGCTCTTTCTGGCATGAAACGGATTCGAATCGGACGTCGGTTCCAATTCGAACGATCATCACTTATGTAGCTACTTTGTTTACCTAAATAACTTTTACCCATTTACTTTATAACCAGATAAAACGAGTCTAGCTAATATTTGTCATGTAGTAACTTTCAAGGAAATCTTTCTAATTAAACTACGTGTACACAAATCAAAATGAGATAAGATAGATAGGCGGTCTAAAATTATCTCTCATAAAACGTTACCCGGCCAAACCATTTTCTTTGACAGTTCTGCTATCAACTAAAAACAATCCATAGGGTATATTCATTGCATACAAAATAAATTCTCGCCGTCTTCAGTTATCTAACCAAAATCGATTATGATGACGTATCAGTATTTTTCCCGTTCTAACAGTCACATCCAGCCTTCTTAAAGCGATGAGGGGGAAACGAGTTCATCAAATGTGCTTTTAGCCATAATCTTTTACAGGTATCAACAACCTACGCCACACGTCAGTCGACATTGACTGGTTGGCTTCGTTATCCGCCTGCTTGCTTCTTTCCGGCAACGTTCCCTATGTGCAGATCTGTCGGAAACACCGCGGCATTAAACTTAGCGCTGGTGCTGCTGTTGTTGTTGTGTTCGTGAAATTTTGTAACTGTCTACGAATTTGTTTTCGATTGCGGTTGGCGAGCAGCGTACGTCTCTCAAATACATCGTGCCAACAAACGCTTGCTTTCGACCACCATTGCACGAAGCAGCGTTAACAACAAAAGAGGGCAGAAGTGTTGTACCGAGCGGAAGACGATCTGTTTGTAGTTTTTTCGAAGTTCAAACAAAAGCTCTAAAATGGAGGTCACAAGGGAAGGCAGCAAAGCGGAGCGCCACACCGATTTCGCTACATGTACGAATGCGCCAATAGCTTGATTCAATAGAACAAGGTTTTGATAGTTCTAACTCGAGTATTTCTGAAGATTTCAGACTGATTATACTCGCAAAGTGCCTTTAGAATTGCTTGTAAAGGCTGTTGTGGTCAGCGGCGGATTGAGCGTGATGGTTTACGTCGCGCGCAAAGGGCCTTGTAGGAAAGCCTCAAAAGAATTTACTGACATAACGCCGGTCAATGATGGGATGAGTAAGCTATGTAGGGATGAGGTGACTAGCTATCTGTTTCCGACGCAGTGAGTGGACAGCTTTTAGCGCAGGATAACTTCTTTAATTAACATATTTAAAAATATAGGTACGTGTCTATAGCACCAAATTGAAAACAATCATTTCATAGAATAATTAGTATTCATTTTCATGCTTTCATGTCTATAGTGGTTTCGGGAGTTCCAGTAATGCTGCTACAGGCACGTTTGCCTTGAAAGCATTTAGAAACAGGCTCTTTGAGAAAATGCAAGGGGCTGCCATCTAAAGATAAATCTAATGGAAAAATTATCAAGTATAGGACGTAAAATGGGAGAACACGTACATATAGTTACTATATAACAGTAAATATAGCTGGCAATGAGCAACTGGGCGTAGAAAAACATCCGCATAGCCCAAAATCTAATCAAGTTGACCAGTAAACAACAAAGTTTTGCATAGGGCAGTTAAATTATTGCGTAGTGCGCTCTGTGCGGCTAGAAGTTTTTCTAGCGTACGCTGGCATTTGAAGCAGTAAACCAATAAAGCCTTAATTCAATGTGACATCGACAGCGTTTTACATCGGTCGAATATTTGGATTTACGATTTATATCTGTACAGCCATGTAGTTAGTGCCCTCAGGTCTTGGATTCTAAGGTGGAATCTGGAACGTTCAGCCTAATCTTTTGAAGATCTTGCTGTACTCACGTTCCTTAGGATTCACATACTGGCACCAGGCCTTCTCCGCTTAAACAACAAAGCTCGACGCGTTTAGTCCTACAAAGTCGATAGCGGCTGAAGAATGCTTGATGTCTTTGGTTGCCAAAGATGTGGACCAATAGCATTCGGTAGCATGAGCTTTCTTGCTGATTGATATATATATATATATATATATATATATATATATATATATATATATATATATATATATATTTATAGCTATAAGCATAGAGATAATAGCACAACTGTTGTACAGTGACGTACGTTGCCACAATCTGGTGCACAGATCAATGTATGTGTCCGTCACGAATGAAGCCCTCGCTGTCGTTACCCTGTAAGATAACCTTCTGGATGTTTGTAGTCTATTGAAATAAGCTGCGGATTTACCAAGTCATATCTTTTTCACTTCAAAAACCGTAAAAAAGTATGTCACTCCGAGTTGATTAAAACTATTACGCACTACTTATAGCTATTGATAGATAGAGGTATTGATGCTGTCCGTGCTGCTACTGTTATATGTGAGCGATCTGCCTCTATATACTCTTGTAAGTTTGAAGTTATTATTTTATTGATTTCGCTCTTACATCGCTCTCCCAACAAGGCTAAAGTGATAATTTCAGGCGAAGCGGAGACGTCAGATGAATCGTCATTGACTACCAGGTTGGCTTCGCGATGGACAGAGTTAATGAACAACTCCGATTCAGAAGTTGGCGAACGTGTACTAGTGATTCACCATGACTCTACAAAACTTGGTGTGCAATTACTGCGGTTCGACGTGGAAAAACTACGTAAATTGGAGACGCGGCTTAGGGAGGAAGCCAAGAGTATGAAGCCGTACAATTCCGAGCAACTAACAGAGCAGGCCGTCGTGGCTGTGTACGTCGACTCCGCAGTGGTTCGGGGTATGTAATAACACTTCCATAGTTCTCGAATGTACCGTGGCTGCATCTATTTTGCACCCTCTTAAATGGACGTTGACTGTGACCAAAAGGTTGTGCTAGCTGCTTGATTTACAGTTAAAAATAGAAACTAATTAAATTAAATCTAGGCTCTATTTTTTTTCCTTCGGTTTATTATGAAAAACTGTTTTGCTGCTAATTACTTTAGGAGTTGTCAGCACTGTGATTGAAAATGAGGCTCGCGTTCACCTGCTTGATTACGGGATCACGGTAACGTTAAACATCGACAAACTTCGCAAGCTTCCAAAGGAGTTTGTCACAGAGCTACCCTTATATGGGGTATGTAAATAATTAGGAACACACGTACTCCATACTTCACACGTTCTATTGCGCTACAATAAAAGCTACTTTATCATACTTAAGGTTCGAAATTGTAACATTATTAGCAAATCCTAAATAATAATATGCACGTGCTTAGGGCAAGTCAGTTGCTATAATGCCCTTCTTTTTAAGGTTGAATATTCGAAAGTTAATGACACAGCTGTAAGTTCACATAAATTGTGTCAATGAACTACAGATTCGAGTGCTGATTGATAAGAACTATTCGATCGGTGGACCGATACGAGGTGTGGACAACGATCAGAGCCTAATGAATCGGATCGTTCATCTCGTCTCGTTGGTTCCGTGCAGCCTCACAACGGCACGTGCACGCATTCATGTTATCGGTGAGTGCTTAATAATGCTATCGGTACAAGCATAATAATGAGTGCATAATTCATATATAGTAGCGGTAGTAATAATAATTATTACTATTATAATTATTATTCTTATGAGTGTACAGGTAGATAAATATTGCTTACAAATCTTCTAGACTGATGGCAAAGCACGATGATCCAAAAAACGCTTTAGCATATAACCTATTATAACCCATAGATTATCGGTAATAATAATAATGAATAAATCTCCACATGTAGTGTGTTCTTTGTTTGGTCAGAGGCAGAACCTTTCGAAAAAGCACCGAAGTTATTTTTATCAAACAAGCTCAAGGTCTCGACTAGTTTCATTAACCGAAGCTTACGGAACTCCACTGAAGTGAATGGTGGCTATTCTGTGAAGCCCGGCGGAACGGCAAATCGCGAAAGTTTCTTAAAAGTTAGTGATAGCCACATTAATGACACTGCGAGTGATGAAGTTCTCGATTGCGTGGATACGAATTCCGTCGTCGATGAAGACCAACAGGCCGTGTTTGAGGTTGTTGAGAACATTAAGATGCAGGTGATTAAACGCGAACTGGCAACGCAGCCAGAGCTTGTTGAAAAAGACAAAGCGATGGACGGGCCATCTGCGGTCACTTATCCGAACTTGACGACATCCTGTAAACGCCAAAGCTCAAAAGAATCACAGAAAGTTGCGGAACAATGGAAGAAAGAAGAAACTGGTCTGTTGACTAGCGGCAGCGTCAATAAAGGTGCCCGGAAAAACCAAAGAGAAAAATGGGAGGCTAAGGCGAAATTAGTTGCTGCCGAAGTGTTTGCCCAGGTCAAAGCAACAATACCTATAAAAGAAACTGAGAAATCGACGAAATCCGCAAACGAAGAAGACAAAACGGCTAAATCAGCACGACGGAACACTGGAGTAGAAGAAATGTCAGGTAACTGGAACACCAGCATTTCGCAGAAAAGTATAAAGATTTCTAGTGAAAGTGCCAACCCTCAAAAAACACCAAAAAAGGAAAATAGTACCCTGACGAAAGATATGATGACAACGAAGCTCGCCGATGAAGCCAGCAGATCCCGCAAAGGACTGACTGATGAGAACTTTGTTCCAATGAATCGTTCGAATGAGACTTTCTGCAAACCAAAGACGTCTATGCACGGGATGCCTTTGCACCGTAGAGATGTCATCATGGACATCTCAGTCAAAGTAAGTGGCAGTAGCGGAAAAAAATTACAATGTTTTTGTTTGCCATATTAATGTATCTTAAATACAGTGCCACGTCGGCGATATTATTAACTAAATGCTAGTGACCTCTTGGCGTATTTTTATACGCTTTGTCTCCTATGTACTAATTAACCTAAGTGAAAAATTGATCTAAGGCTCAATTGCGTTGTGCATTGGAAACACTGAACAAACACGATGTCGACATAATGAAGATACTGCAAGCAAAATGTTATAAACTATTTTGAAACATTAAATCGATCTTCCCTGTGTTCGTGGACGTAATAATGGACGTCTTTTCTGTAGTTTCTGCGCAGGACTGCGCCGTGTAAGGCAATTGTGTTGAGTCTCAGTCTGCTGAGCGATGTCGAGAAAACGTTGAAGTCATTGAAGGTTCCGCCCTTACGGCTTCCTCAGTTCAAAATAGCCTGGGGTACTCGGATTCTTATCAGACGTCCTCAAGGTCTTTGTCGTGCTACGATAGACTGGAAAGAACCTAAAGGCGCGTGGTGGCATTGCATATTCGATGACCTCGGTAAGGTCTTATATTTTCCGAAGTCCTTATTTAGCAAGATGGGGCACAACATTAGCAGTTGAAAGTTATACATTTCCAAGTAAAGTTAGTTAAAAGTTGGCATTCTTATTTTTTACTGCCATTTTTAAAATTAATAGGAGATATTGGGAATAATTGAGTTAACGGCCAGGGGAAACACATGACGCTGTGCCTTGTTTTTTTCTAATGGCTGTGATTACTTCATTTGACCATACGATCCATATAAGATGTATGCTTAGGCTGAACAACTTCCACACATCTCTAAATTTAATCGCTTTGAATTCATCAGACTCATCGGGTGAAAGAAGGTATGAATGTCGAGATCGCAAGCGTATTTTTCAATTCGAATGTATTTTGCATTGCGTATCTTTAGGTGTAGTAAACTTACGGCCCAAATTAGTGATATTGTGCTTCCTTCGATTCTAAGATATATGCAGTTTTTCAGCAGACAATACTAGCAGACGAAAAGTCAGTTACGAGTTACTTATGCGAATTATATTCTTTGTTCTTTTACCTTTTCAAAACGTTTAAGTCCAAAAGTGTGCCTTTGCTTTCCAGATGACCCTCCAGTACATGTTCGTTTAGGGGAAATACTCGAGTGCCCATCTAACGTACTGTGCCTTCCACGCGCTCTTTTGTATGTGCACATATCCGGCGCACCTGACCTTCCGAGCATTTTCCCAAAACCTCGACAGGTGAGCAAGCTCAGTGTATTGGACTTCGCGGAAGTACGAGGCAGTGTTTCGAATCTGCCGATGAACCGAGTGTTCGGTTTTTTCCCAGAAGTCAGCCAAGATCATGAGGCGAATTTCAAGAAAAGCGAAGCTACGACGTCGTTCGACGGTCGTAGTTTGAAGTCCTCGCAGCCTATTACTACATCAACCTAACCTGAACCGGCAAAGCTGCTGTATGTAAAGCTCTCAGGATGGCCAAGATCAAAGCGCAGCGTGGACGATGCATATAGCGACGTTGAGAGACGCAAAATAGCAAGCACAAGTTTGTTATCCACCTTCGAGTACTAAATCCCGAGAGTTAACCCGATTTGAAATTGTTAGATGTTTCGCAGAACTGTACGCGCGCAAAAAGTCGAAATGAATTGCTTTATTTGCCATGAGATAAGCAAATCGATATGAATCTCATTAGAGTCGCTCTATCTAGTTGGAAATCGTTCTTCCAGCGTCCAGCACTATCCCCTTAAACTGACGCAGAGAACGCGTTTCTATTAACGGCAATTTTTTCGTAATTTGTTTATTAATTTGCTAACATTGCGAGTGTAGTGGTATAACGACTTATTTGAATTATACCCTTTGTAATGTAAATGTATCTACGTGTCATTAGTGTTAGCAGGGACAGAAGAATTGCGATGATGTTTTATACTGAAGCCAGTATCACTGGGCCGTTCGTTGATGATTAGGCTTATTGGCGTCTATATATATATGCAATTAGAAGATCGTGCATTTATATGGTGACGCAATAATAACGAAAGGATGTGAATTCTACATGTATTACTGAAATAATAGAATTGTAACATTGTTGCTTGTTGCTAAATAGAGTTAATTAAACATAGTGATTTCGGGAAGCGGGTCAAAAATCGACAATTGTGTTACTAACGGCTGTGAGATAGCTGAATTAAGCCAATAAAGTGTCGTCTTAGCGCTGTTGATGCAACACGGTGCGGCCATCGCGCACAACAACCGTAGGCGTAGTCGCGGAATGATATTGTTGAATAGGTGTCTCGCCAACGTATGTCCAGCGAAGCGCCAAAGTTAGTGACAACGTCAGCCAGAAACGAATCTATCGATAGTGAATTCATGGCACCAATAGAAGGGAAAATCAAATAAAAACGTCTCTTGACTGGTCCGTTTGAACACCATGTACGTGCAGAGATGCCCTTTGTTTCTATTATCGACCCTATAAATGTTAGATGGGACCAAGCTTCATTTGACTCACAGAGGGTTCTAAGTGTCAAATGCAGCACATACATAAAAGTACTTATGCACCACTATACTGTAGATCATAGTGCCACACGTTCATAGAACCTGTTTCGGCGAATCATTAACGAGTATGCTGCCGTCGAAACCGAACATCTGGGAGTATCGTTCATGCATCCGGGCCGATCAGTTTCCATCACAAATCAAAACTAATCTTCCACGTGAAAAGACGTTACTACACAAATGACCGCCGAATCGTTTGATGATTTCCTCTTAGACCAGAAGCGAACTGAGAGACGTTTGCCTGTATGTTCTCACTTACAAACCGCCTGCTGGTTATTAGCAGCTAAGCGCCTGCGTGTCCCTTCGTTAGCATGCATAGCAGCGGCCCTGTAGGCGCGCAATAATAAATTGTGCAGTGGTTCTAATATTTTGCTAAACATTAGCATACAGATATAATCGTAGACTATACACGGATAATATGGGGTGTTAATACTGTAAGATGGATGTACAGACAGTGTGAAACTTCCGAGCTTAATCTGTGCGTCTATATAACTAGGAACAATGAAAAGCTTTACCGAAGGAAAAATCTCGAACCTACAAAAGCAATGACGTACTTCCAACTGTTTCAATGAGAAAATGCACCACGACTCATGTCGTTATTGAAGGTCCACACAAAGGATCGATCTGAAACCTCTTCGTAAACGCATATGATCTGAGTTCACGTGAAGCTCTACTATGAATGTACTGTTCATAGCTGTAGTTGTGAAGAACATGTTACTAGCGCGCGTTATGCGATGCTTTGCAGAGAGATGGAAAGTCATTGATTTGATTCCCATGATCCCAGCTACGTTTTCCAAGATAAAACGCTTTGTTGTTTCTTTTGGCTTCCATCTAAGTGGAGGTTCTAGACGAGCTCTCTAATCTTACAGCTGTATGAATTTCAATGACAGGTACAACAGTTTTATTTGCTTGACCGAGCACCACCCCATTCACTTTGTATGCGGTTCATATGAGAACAGCAATGCCCCCAGTCAGGTACCATTACGATGGCAATAAAAGCCAACATACTTCGATTCCTGCGTTCGTCTAAAAATGGACCAAAGAGTTGTAATTGGTGTTCTGCCGTTGCAGCTGGGTTGAGCTGTCGCTAAAGCCGAGGGAAATGCCGAGACATACGAAGTAAGCCCCTCGCGTTACAGAACCGTCCCAAGTGTTTTTTCGTTGACACTCTTTTTTTTTAGTGAAAACTGTCCCCGGTCGTATTTTAGCAGACTAAGAACAAACAGAACGGCGGATGCAAATTACGTTAGCGGGCCTTACTCTTATTCACTGGGAGATTTCGCCGAGTTTTGATTAGCTTTACGTGAGAAGAGAACTAATAACTATTTTTTTTTTGCCTGCATCAGTGTAATAAAATTGCCACGTGGCCATTGTCTGCTAGATTTTTTTTTGCAACATTGCCTTCGATGGCCTCCGGTGAAGCTAAAATGAGCACTGAAGGGTTCTAGCCTGTGGTAATGGTTACAAGTTAATTAAAACGATGACAATTTTTATTTTAGCCTACCTCGCGAAATACTTCCCCGTTTGGGTAACGCACACCATAACAAATACGCAGGTGAGTGCCCTAAAGCTATTTTTGTTAAATTGAATTGTTTCTTAGAAAGGACAAATCTTGTTGATAACCCGTGATCAATTATCGATGACAGAACATCATCTGCCACCCATATTGCTTACTAGAACAAAAATACACACCACGCCATAGTCGATCTGAGGATATCATATCGCCTAGGCTGCAGCCTATACTGTAACGAAATCTATATAATGATTAGGCTGTCTACTAAACGCCATATCGTCGGAACAATTACTGCTCCGCGTTGACATTAGCAATATATTGTTCAGCCTTAAAGAGGCGACCGTTAATTTGACTTTGATATTATATTATTATCACATGTAAAAATAATGAGATCACAACTATAACACACTAGTGTAGCTAATTAGGAAAGACTTGTCTGCTTGGTTAAAGTTCGTATCCAGTCATTCGGTTAGCTTTTGACTATGGGATTATAAATATCTCTACTGAATGATAAGGTCCCTGATGGTGCTAAAATAACACGTTCTTTTAAGGCTCCATTTACCTCAGTCCACATCTTAAACACTGCGATTTTAAGCGAAATACCACACTAGTCAGCAGCGGCCATTACACAATTACGTAGGCAAGCTTATCTGAGGTTTGTTTTACCTCGCGCGCGGTTCCAGGACCTAAACCCTTGGCTTGACCTTAGTGTCCGTTATGTGGATGTTCATGAAATGTAAGCGTTCAGCCTCTTTCTGAATTTCCCGATAAACCAAGCGAGGTGATTTTTTCTAGAGTAGCTTCACTCACTGTAATCAGTCACCAAACAAGTTATGTTTCGCATCGTTCACAAAGATAACTACCTTGACTAGGCCGCTGGTTCTTGTACCTCCCCGAAAAATTTTTGGCAATTTCATTCCAATGCAAGAGCGAAGAAGAAAAACAGCGAGAAGTTACGAAACTAGGAGCAAGTGACGAACACGTTGGTCTCAGTCCTGTTGCTGTGCACGTCATGATGAGCTCAACGCACTTACGGCAACTCACCAAGGCCTTGCAGTGCGAACCGAAACGGAAAACACGACAGAGAAATTGTAGAATTAACCAATTTTTCCCTTCATCCCGCCCGAAAGCAAAGGATTGCTCTCGCGATCATCTATACATAATTACTTACAAAACATTTTTCGCCTCAGGAAACGTATTGCATATATTGGTAGCGTTATCGATTTTAGCAGTCAGGTGATTCGCTAACGCGAAAACAGTCCCATCGCACTACCGAAAATGAATGGGGTAAATTTATTGGCTTAATTTTCTATAACTCGTAGCGTCTCTCAGCTAGAGTGTATAGATAACTTTACCTCTGGCAAATTAACTGTCGGGCGTTGGTGAACCTTATGTATTCCTTATCTACATATGCTAAGCCTCTCGGTCGACTCGTCAATTGCCATTGGCAACGAAACTACACAACTCAATTAAAGTGATTTCTTCCAGAACCTATGTTTCAACGCTCTACAATTTTCCTAGAATTAGCCTGCGTGTTGTAGCCTATGAATGCGCATGACTGGAGGTAGGACTTCAGCTTTAACTCGTGTGTATTTAAAAAGGGCTCAGACGTTCTGCACATGGCACCCGACATTGCTGATTGAGGCCTGTGATGCGGGAGGAATCAAATTATTTAATTATATAGTATAATTATATTAGATCTAATTAGCAGAAGCATAATGCGTTACTAACCTACTTAATTGAATGAATTAAAATTCGTGCATGCTAGAGATCGCATAGTTGTAATTGCACGATCGCGCTGTGTACTTGATCGCATACATACAATAGATATCTAGAATATTTACTTTGTTCAGTCACAGATGAATATATTCAGCATGCGCGTACCGGATGATCCAGCTGTAACCCGTCTCGTTGGTATCAGCCTAATCAGAACGTGAAAGCTTTGCAGTGGCTCTGCATCCTCTTTGACATCCTATGTCGTTTGGCAGGTCCCCGTTCGTCGCCAACGCCGTAGAAGGTCCAATGTACGCATCGACCAGGACCCATGCGTGGCCTACCAGGTCATAGTGTTCTCCAGCCGACAAATCAATAAACCGATCAATAAACAGAGAATATAGATGTACTAGTTTAGACATGCACAACAATTTCTTTAGCTAGTGACGAAGTCGGGCCAGTCTTCAAGTACTTAAAGCCATTCAAGAAGAGTACGTCTTCAATACGTTACAGAGAAATACGCTGAAGATAGTTTCTGAGTGAAGTGTTCGTTCGGTTACTACAATTAAAAGCCAGTCATCTTCGACTGACGAAGGTAGCGATGATGGTTATTTGGCTTGGTACGGAGCTAGACGTTTCCGGATTCGAACGCCACGTGCTGGGATTAGCCAGCGTTTTTAGTCCAACACAGTCGTATATCTGTGCACTTCTATAGATGAATGGCGACAGATACAATAAGAGTTAATACTGGCTAAATGATGCGCGAAATCATTTTCTTGAATGGTTGTTGAAATTTATATTAGGTCAAGGCAAAACAAATGGAACTATCATCTTCGCATCTGTTAGCTATGTCTGTATACCTGCTTAGACGAATCAGTTAAGCGAAGCCAATTTTTGTCCAGAACCATCAAAGGAATCGACGGAACTATCCAAGTAAAATGGTCGAATAAATGAAGTAACAAGAAAAAGATGCTCAGATGGGAACAGGTGACGAAAATCTGTTCATCGGCCCCGACTCCAGTCTTTGAACCTGCGACGATGACGCATCAGTTGCGCGAACGATCTTACGTAACGTCGCTGGCACAGGCAACACTTCATAGAAATTAACTAGGTAACACTAGAAGATTACAAACGCTTTCATAACAACAAAAATCTTGTAAATTTAAATTTAAATGTGCTATTTACGACGATACATAGTCGTAAAACTGAAAATAGATTGGTAATTATCGGCTAAAGCGCCCCTTTCGAGAGGAAATGACGCAAATCGCGGAACGACATTCATTGAGTTATATAGTCTGATCAGTAGAGTGGTCAATTTAATATGTACATATTTGTGAAGAGCACTGAGTATGAAAAAACGCTCGAATTTCGTACGTGAAAAGTACGAACAAGTGTAATATAGGACATTTCGTGAGAAAACGTGGTCGTGCTTCATTCGTTCACCATTTCATGACCCGATTCGTAGATACACTGTAAGGGAAAAAGTGCTGCGTTGTCTGTTATGGCCGTTGCTATAGTAGAATGGCGTTGTACTTAGGCGCTTACCAGGTTTATATATATGATTTATATCGGAAAACGTTAACTGTCCTTAATCGTCGGAACCTCTACACCTAGTAAAAATCGCCATTTTACGATTTAAGCGCGTAGAACTTAACG